GCGGAGAGGTTAGGGGTCCCCTATAACGACTTCTGCAGAAGCTGCAAAAATGAAGAAGAGCTAGAAACCTTGTGACACCTGTTATGCGAATGCTCCACACTTTGTAGAAGAAGACGAAAGTTTATGGTTTCAGGATTGTTTGAAGACCTAACCGGCATAGCCGAGGTAGGCATACGGCAACTTCTGGGTTTCGTGAAATCCACACAATGGTTTGAGTAGGAGGTTTCTAACGATTCGCGTGCTATCACAACGGGCCCACAACCTAAGGGCCTACGTGTGCTAGTAAGGTCACTGGCAGCCACTTCAACCTAACCTAACCTAACCTAGAGGTCGCTCAAGGCGCTCAAAGTTTTCTATGTATTTTACATGGAGAAAACAACTTTTCCTAGAAATAGTAAAGAATTCTTAAAAATCAATATTTTTCGATCGGAAAACTCTGCTTCTTTGCAGGAGATTTCCCACAATAATACCCAACTATATATTTAACCATTTTTTCATAGTAACTTTAATGTATAGGTCTGCTTATAACCTCCAAGAACTCCAAAAAAATGTAATGGGGGCACCAATAAAAAATCGGTAGTAAAAAAAATTCCTTAACAGAGAATTGAATATTATTATTGAAAGTCTCCTGACGAGAACCAGAGTTTTCCGATCGAAAAATGCTGATTTTCAAGAGTTCTATACCATTTCTAAGACATTTTTTTTCCCATATAAAATATGTATATTGAAAACTTTGAGCGCTTTGAGCGACCTCTAAATATCTTTCGATTTTTAATTAAAATTCCGACTTTACTTTTTTTTGGACCATCCTAGGCTAGGCTCTTTTTCGGATCAATGATGATATGTATACTGGTTCTTTGGTTCGCCAAGAGTAAGTATGGAGGCATATTTAGATTTTTAATTCCACTAGCGATGTATTGTATCTTGAGCCTTACCAATATGTGACCTATGTGGCGTTTTTAGTCCAGCTGCCATAAGCGGCAGACGATTATTTCTGGAATATTCATTTGATTGAGGTAATAGCGAAGGGAACTGTGTCCCGGGAAGTACCCTGTGAGAGCTCAGAGCTAAACAGCGATTTCTTGAAAGGTTGCCATGACAGCTCCCACCGCTGCTTTCTCGTTGACATACGTCCACCTTAAAATCGAAACAGTAGTTTCTCCGACAGGGGCGCAGTTTTGCCATTTGTCACAAAACCGAAGTAGGCAACACTTACTATTGAACAGTGGCACATATCTCACATTTATGGTGAATATTGGCATAAGTCAAAAACTGTCGATAGTTTAGTGATGTTTTTGTGTAAAATAAAGAAAATTTTCGTATATCAGTGGAGTTATTTTCATTTAACTACTTAGGAGTTATTACTTGTTTCGTATTTTTTTCCGTCCAACCCTTTCAGAAAAAAGTCATAATTTAAAAGCTTGCAAAACTTCCCTAGAGAATGACAGGATACCAAGCCAAAGAGTTACCTCTAAAAATAGCTCCTTTCATGGCAAGCTAAATCACCGTTATGTCACAACTACGTTTCTACATTTTTATACGTGCACTTGGCAGGCAGCTTTTACAGTAACTAGCAAACACAAAAGTACGCCACTTGCGTATAAAACAAAAGCATCACAGCGTACTCAATATGTAAGCTGGGTGGGGCGTATGAGTAACCAAAATGAACAATAGGCCAACAATGCAGCCTATTTGCCTTAAGTGCTGTCAAAGTGAAAAGCTAGTTGCTTTCTTTATACGTAGTTAATAATGACAATGACAAAAACAAACACAATACACAACAATAAAAACAAAAACTACTAATACTACGCTAGGCAACTCTCCACACAGCCTGTGCAAATATTTGCTTGTTAGAATTGCAGTAAAAATCTAAGCACCAAAAAAGGAAAAAAAAAAACAAAAGTTAAAACGCCAATAAAAGAAAATAAGCAGACAAGTGTACCATTTTATGAGTTTCGATAAAAATTTGAAATTTAGGTCACTGCAGTAAATTTTTTGCTATATGACTGCCGTTGTTGGCAGGTCATATAATTTTTTATGCATTTATTTGCCCTCTTAGTGCAAATTATTGTTATTGTGGTTTGTAGTGGCATTTTATGGATGCACGTTTGAGTAAAAATATATATACATACATACGTGCATAAATGTATGACCCTTGCAAAATAAGCGCACACCTCGTGTACAGTATCTCGAGTTTTGATTCTGTTGGCTGATTTATTGACCCTTGTCATGTCGTTGCCATGTTTTGACTTACAGTTTGTATATTTATTATTTATATCCTGTGGTCGGTGAATGCAGCTATGCAGCTGATGCATACAAAAAAAAAATATATTTTTTGGTTTTAAATATTAACGAAGGTATGTAAGTGCCTCACTCAATGTCCATCCCCCTCTTCGGCGTCCTTCGGCAAGTTTAGGGATTAGCATTAGCTTTGTGCATACCCGATTCGCATAACTTGACAAATGTACTTGGATTGACTTTAATAATAAAAAAAAACACCTAAATTTCGTATGGGGCACCCCTTTATGTTATACGTAGGACACCCATGCATATTTCAAAACTTTAAACCAATGTTTAAAGATCGCTACCGGAGTCCGAAAAAAATTTAAATTTATTTTAAAAATTGAAAAAAATTCGACAAAAGTTTGACTTGAAATCTGATAAATTTGACCTATTATTAAACCTTATTTATAAACAATTTCGTCGAACTTTGCGGTTAAAACAAAAAATAAAAATAAATTTTTTCAAACTCTGGCAACCAAACCTTTTTTTTTAATTTTGAAATTTTCGTGGATGTCTTTATTTTGTGCGTAGAACAAAACAAAGGTCGCCCCATGATGTTGATAATCGAAGGACTACCCTAATGTGAACATTAGCAAGGCTTCAGCTTATTCCAGCGCTGAGTTTTTGTTTAGAAGACATTTTTGTTACCGAAAATTTTTGTGATTCTAAATTTTACGGTGATTAAGTTTATTGGAGTGGTTCTTATTTTATGGGAAAAATTCAAAGCAGGCCAATATCCTTACGGCTTCGAATTGGGGAGTTATAGGTGTATTAAAGTACCCACGGTGGCTCTATAGCTTTAGTTGAGGTAGTGGTTTTTTCTGTCGGTCTGTTTTAGTTAGAGTTGTTCGTTTTGTGTTTATAAAATTGCAGGGGAAATCTCACACTCGAATTCATAAAAAATAAAGAAGACTTTAACCACTTCATAAATCGAAAATTTGTATGAAATTGTCACTTTCTAAATCTCTTTAATATTTTTTTTTTTTATTTAATTTATATTAAGGCCTGTTCTTTTGCAAAAATCCAGGTACTAACAATGACAATCGATAGACAAATAAAAAAGTTGTGAATGGTAAAATGAAAATGTGCAATAATTTTTTTTTGCATGAAATAGGAGCAAGAAATAGTGTTGCTCATACGCCCATGATAAAGTTTGAATTTTTTTTTTTTCCAAATGCAAACTTAAAATGAAAATATCTTGGGAAAATGATCTGATCTAGAAAAATGATATACAGATCCATAGTTTACGACAAAAAATGAAGTTGACATGTATTCTAGGTATTCTAACGGTGACCATCCGTACTTTATTTCAAAGGGCAGTCCTTTTTCTTAAGCTGCTGCCCTTTGGCTTTATTTATTAAAAAAATGTCCTTTATTTCATAGCTTAATATTTGTAAGTGCATTTTTGATACGACGACAGACATCAATGTTTTTCATACCTATTTACATATCCATACATATGTATGTATGTATTAGGAGTTCCAGTCACTGTCGAAATTCGACAATTTTTCTAGCTTTTTAAGAGCCTTGGAGAGATTTTTCAACTTATGAGGTACAAAATTACTTACCAGAAAGTCTCCTGCTTTCAAACTAAAACGTGACTATTTTTTTATGTCTTTGAAGGTCTTTGACAGGACTTGGAATTGACCTGACACATTCCAGTTTGTCGATAAATTTCGATAATTTGATAAATATCGATAATTCGATGGATTTCAAAAACACTTAAATCCGATAGCTTAACAAGATTCGATAACTCGACTTGTTCTGATTTTTTTCGATAACTGTGCCTTTCGCGGGCTCGATATATTTCGATAAGTTAAAAAAATTTCGATAACTTGATTAATTTTGATAGCTCCATGTATTTCGAATGCCACTTAAAAATTTCAATAACTCGTTAATAAGTTATAATAATCTCTAACTCGTTAAAAAGTAAATAAGTTCGATAACTCGCTAAGTGACAACCTTAAAATTTCGATGCATTACGATAACACTATACATTTCTTTAGCTCTATAAATAATGATAACTCAATAAATATCGATGACTTGATAAATTTCATTAACTTGAGAAATTTCCCATAGATTTTTATAGCTCGATAACTATCCGTTAATTTCGACAACTAAGTCTTTGTATCTATAAATTTCGACAACTCAATAAAAATCAATCAATTTGAATAATTCGTTACGTTGCTATAACTAAATAAACATGGATAGCTCGATAAATTTCGATAACCATAAGTTTCGATGATGCGATAAATATCGGTAACACGATAACTTTCAATAACTAAATTTTTTATGACTGAATTAATTTCGATTCCTATCAAAATATTTTAATAAATTCTCTTACCCTTGCAGTTACCTTAATTCCTATGTATTTCTCATAGTTTTAATTTTGGCTTTCATTTTCAACTTTGGTTTCACGTTTTTGTCTTAATCATTTTTATCATCTCTGATATAAATTTGATAAATTTTGAAATATTATTGAAATTTATTGCTAAAAATCACAAAAATTATAACACTGGTATTTTTCCGTGTACCTTAATTTGTATTTAGAAAATGCATTTCTTTGTTGCCCTTTCGAGCACCGGGGTGCAAAAAAGTAGTTCTACCACAATGTATTCCTAAGTGTATAGATACTTATTTTTAAATTGTTTTTGTTTTACAAAACCAAATTTGCTGATGTCTTATTCATTCATTTTGCTCCTTTATTCTCTTTGCAGAAAGGCCACACGACAGGTGGTTGATGCCTGGCTCGTTTCACATGCCACCTCAGCTGGAAATGATGTCTCTTTGACTGGCTCACCTACACACACCAACGGACAAAGTTGCTCATCGCGTGGTGGTTCCGGAGCGACAACGCCTGTGAGGTAAGTTTATAAATAATTTTTACAAGGAAACGAATATGGGGTATTCCATCGTCACGGGTGGGACATTTGTACAGCAAAAATAGTTTTTCTTTTTTAATTTAAGTATAAAGTACATAGCAATTCTACATTTTGATAAAGCTACACCTAGTTCACTAATATACGAGTTATTACCAAATACGAAAAATATTCCAACTTGATTTTATATTGGAAAATTCTGAGCTGTTTCTTCCGTCACGGGTAGGACAAAGAAAATACACTGCTTTTTGGAGAACATATATTTTAAGGAAAGTCTGTGAATTTACTTAACATTTCTATCTGGATTAGATGTTTTACTATACAGAAAAGAACCAGCAATCCCAACAAAGCACAAACCATAATAAGAATTATTTGTTTATTATTAAAAAATTCAAAATTCTCCTGTCACGGGTGGGACAACTTTTGTCACGGGTGGGACACGTACGATTTTCTTCATGAAAGGAAGCTTCTAGTGAGATCCATATCAAAGAGATTAGGTATGATAAATGTTAGAGGTCAAATACAAGATCAATTGACCTACTTTTATGACAGTGGAGTCATTGTAAGACGCACGATATACTGCTGACCCCAGGATCTATTTTAGGGGCAATAGTTATACCAAACGAAAGCTAGAAGTCGCCAGATTGATGTATTAAAATGCATGGAAGAAAGGATTATTTGCAAACGCATGAAATTTTATATGCATTTTCCTAATGCACTTCTGCACGGTGCATTTGATTGCAACGAAATTTCGAATGTGCCTTAATGATTTTCAAGTTTGTTTAGAATAGCTATGTATGTCTGACTAATACTAACTACAGGCTAAACATGTATATCGACTACTGTTATCACGTCGATAGTGATGTCTAACCTGCTGTTAGTGTTGACCAGACATTGAGTAACCGGCTTAAGAGTGGCTCGAGTTGAGTTATTTTTGGAAACTGATTTCATGGACAAATCATGCTCAAATTTAGCTATTCCTTAAAACCATAGAACGTCAGAAAAGATCTTGTGTATCGATGTCTAATCCGAAAAGTTATCTGCATTAGAATACTTGTAAGCAGATACATATGTATATCTTTGTCACTTAAAGGCTATTTATTGGATTGAATTTATAAGTTTCGCGAACTTCTAGATTTTCTTGGTTGGAACTTTTCAGGTAATTGTTAATATTGACTTTTAATTGTTGTTAAGCAACCCTCATCATAGAATTCTCTGGCGTCTCTAAGATAGTAATGCTTATCTTGACTTTTCGAGCTGGCCACGCGAAATTTTTTACTACATCGCTTAGCCCACCAACAGTATTATGGTGTTTAGTCAACCTGTACTTCAGAGTTTTGTGGCATTAAACATAGGTTTGAAACGTTAAACTTATTTTTTTATTGTTAGGCATCATTAGAAAAAAATTATAAATGATTGTCACGGGCGGGACACGATAAAACGTTTCAAAATCTCTTAAGTAGGTACTTATAATATAATAAAAGAAATGAAATAGGGCTGCTTAGTATAAACACACTCTAGTTATGAAATTATAGAAAACTCCCTAAAGTAGTAACTAAGCAATACGAAGTTTAAAACTTTTTAGTCACGGGTTGGACATGCTAAACCGTAGTGATTTTATCCTATTATATAATTTAAATGCCTATTTTTCTTCAATGCCATATTGCTTCTTCGGGGCGCAGAAAGATCGAGACATTTATTCCCCCCTTCAAAAAAATAATAACTTTGTGAATACTTGATTTTGCAGAGCCTTCTATATTAAAATATGTTGTCGTATTCAACTACTTTTCTAATGTTGAAGTTTTGAGTGTATTTACAGTGTAATAAAATAATATAACTAAATGTTTTTTCGAAAAAACGTTAATTTCAGGTATTGAGCATTGATTCATCAAGCATTCCATGTTCAATAAGCTACTCTACAATTGGACACAAAGTTTCACTTACTCATGGAATACCCCATATACAAATAGAAAAAGTATAAGTGCGTCTAGGATTTTATTTTATATAAATTCATACATAGATGAACTGACAATATCTCACTAGCTATCGTTTACTGCTTAGGGGGCTTTAAGTGGAAAACAGCTTGAGTGCTGAATATAAACACATCACCAGCGGCGCGTAGGCGTTTCAGCAGAAAGTAATTGAAGTTGACATCTTTTAAATGGAACATTTACAATACTAAATAGCACTCATATTACGCTGACAGATTTTGCTTACAAAAAATAAGTGAATATTGTTTACCAAGCTAAAAATAGTCGCCTTAAAATAGTAAGCAATAGATATGCATGGAGAGGACAGTTAGCAGGACCCTACTGCAAATTAGAAAGCAAAAATTTCAAGGATACTCTTTTGCTGTATTACACTGGCATATTTTACGCTCACCCACTGGATTTTGCTGTTTTCCTTTTTTGCGTTTTGCATACTTATGTATGTACATACATACATATTTCCTTTTTTATCTACTACAAGCGCATCTCTGTTTTTTTTTTATGACGCGCTCCGCTTGCGGCTTTTGGTCAGAGGTTTGTAGTCTATTACACGCCCAGTTGTTGTTGTTCATTGTTTTCCATCACTTCATTGCACAGCTGTTTGCTGTTTGGCATTTAATAAATGTGCTATAACAAAGACAAGACAGGCCCACGCAAGCGATAGGACACCCTCATCCATCGTGTAATGCTTTTGGGCTGAACTAACGCCGCTTAAGGGAAGTGTACGCTGTCATTATTGTTTATTTATGCCGCCACTCAGTTGACTGGCAGGCAGTGTTGGCGTGTTAAAAGATAAGTTACATTACTGGGGTATCTAAAGTTGAGAATGGTCAGATTTCTTTTCAACATTTTTGTTGCTAACCTCACAAAAAAAAAAAAAACTGCTGGTGGTGGTGGTGGTCATTCCAGTGGTTGTTGGGCATTTGTTGTTTTGCTTTCTTTTGCTTTTTTTGCTCCGTTATTTTTGCTGGTGGGTGCTATATACTTGTTTCTGTAAAGCATTTATTTATTTATGTTAACATTTTAAAGTATCTTAAAGTTGCAAAATGAAAAAATCGTTATGGTGTGGACTAGGCATTAAATGGCAAAAATGACAAATGACAAAGTTGTGTTAAAAAATATATTCGTGTCATTACGTTCACAAAAAGTGTCATTAAGTTCATTTCCACATGGCATTTATTTTTTGGCATTTCAATGCCTAGTGGAAATTCGGCATTAGATTTCAAAAATTCTGAAAATTTCTGAAAAACCACCCATCGACCAGTTACAAAACCGCCTAAATAGTCATAGTGGCAAAAATGAGATTTTATAACCCTGAACTCCAGGTACCAAGATATACAATGTAAAATTACAGATAGACCTACCAAGTCAACGGCTTAAATAAAATAGCAAAAAATACAGCTTTCGCCCCTCTGTAGAATTAAAGGTTTTGCAACTGGTCGATGTGCGGTTTTGCAAAAACATTTCTATTAGCTATCAGCCGTTCACTGTAGATATCAAGTGGGAAACATGACATCAAGGGAGCTGCGTTGCACTCATTAGACTTTGGGTCTTCAATAATTAGTTCATTTTAGTACTATTTTTTTTTTTTTAATTTTTAAAAAAATTAAAACTGCTTACATTTTCAGGATTTTGCGGGACACAAGTAATTTTTTGTGGCTTTAAGCATTTATTTTATTTGTCTTAATTTTGCCGATATTTTTTCGGAGTTTTACAAAAATTTTAAATTTTTTGGACCTCTCCGCAACTCAGAAAAAATCACCAATTTTCGAGATGTTTTAGTACTTTTTCGAAAGTTCCGAGAATTTGCGCTATTTTCGGAGTTTGTTTTAAATCTTTCAGAATTGTTCGGGACATATGTAATTTTTTGTTTAATTTACGAGCTTATTTCATTTGTCTGAAATTTTTTCGGAGTTTGACAACGTCTTTGAATTTTCTGGACTTCTCCGCAACTCCAAAAAAGCGGCGATTTTTCGAGATGTTTTGGTTGTTTTTCGAAAGTGCCGGGAATTTCCAGTATTCTCGGAGTTTTCTAAATTTTTAGGAAGTTATTTTGCATTTTTTGGAAAAATCAGATTTTTTCTTCTAGGACTTCTCGATACCTTTCCAAATTTCGGGTCGGGGTTTCCAGTTTTCCTATGGAAATTTTTAACTCTTTTTACGAATTAACGCTACTTCAGGTCTTCCTGCAGCGGAGCTCTTTCAGGATGTTTCGGAAAAATTATTTCTGATTTTTTCGGATATTCAGTGTTTGTTTTTCGGAATTTATATTTCGGAGATTTTTCTTCTGAAACTCTTAACACATTCACGCAGCTTTGGAAACTTTATGAACTGTACAGAATTTTTCGAAAACACCATTTTTTTGTATTTTGGTAACTTTTCGGGACTCGTAATGATATTTTGGTAATTCGTTGATACTGTTCGGTGATTTTAGAGATATGTCTTAGGCACTTTACGAAATTTTAAAAACTTTTTGACCTGATGAAGAAGTTGGGGATATTTGGGGAAACAAGAGTTCCTTGCAGGAGTTCTAGCTCTGAAGAACTTAAGAAAATATAACTTTGTTAGCATAACGTTTGATGAATCTGACAAGGCGACCATTTATGAATGATTTTAAAACTGTCAGGAGAACATGCTGCCTAGATTTAGCAGTCTAGCAAATACGCCTCTTTTTTAAAGAGTAAGGCTAGAGGTATTATGTCTCTGATAATAATATAATAGAGGCCCTATTAGACTTGTGCGCATGTCTCCTGTTAATGGCCGGTGACTCAATTTCGGTGATATTCTCCAAGTTTTTCCATGAAGTTTTTGACAAGCTTGAACGGGCTTTGTGGCCTTATTGCTAACCCTTGTAATAGAAGATTTTTTTGTTTGGTATGCGTGGAGCCTTCTATATCCATTAGTAGTAGCTTGGGTTTGAGTTAGGTTTCCCATATGTGGTAGTCAATTAGTTGTTCTAAGGGTTTGATAAGAAAAGAACTGGAGCTTATTAGTCTAATCACCTTTAGGCGTTTTAGCTATGAATGCGACTTAAATAAACTTCTTTCCATGGTGATTGTACGTGAGCGAAATGTTTTGTATGTCGCTCTCAACATCCCGATTAGGGTTAATCAAACACTATGCTATTGCTGACATGTAACATTACCACATTTTCCTTTTCCGTGGTAAAGAATACGAAAATTTTTGAGTAGTTTTATTACGACAAAATATTTTTCTTGTAGTCTTAAAAATTGTATTTTATAATCAAGTCCAAGCGCTTTTTTTCCAACTAATTAATTGATTGCTTGCATTTAGACTTGACATCTGCTATGGCATGCTATTAATTACCTTACAATAAACAGAACTTATTAATTAAATGTTGTTTTTTTTTCTCTTCTCTTCCTCTTCTTTTCTCTTCCAATTGACTATGCGTTTGATGATTTTCAATAACTCACCATGGTGGCGAACGAACATTCACGATACCCGTTAATCATCTCCCACAACCGCGCACAATCTCACTCAACCTATATTACGCTCCCTCTACTGACACTGCTCCATCAATGTTGGTGACGCTGCAGAAAAATTTCAGCGCATGAATTTGAACGTGGCGGTCTACTGAAGCCAATTGTCAACACCATTGACGGTACACCGACATTCTTAAGTATAGGCACACAAAATGATTGCTCGTCAAATAACAACAGCAATATTGGTGGCAGTAATGGCAATAATGTCGGCGGCGCAGGCGGTGGTAACTGTAACAACAGCAATGGCACAACGGGCACAATGGGTGCTCATCACTATCATCACCATCATCATCATCATGGACAGACGGCGCACGGCAGTATGGGCTACTATCGGCCACAGCGTTTGTCACGCAACGAATTGAAGGCTTTGGATGAGAAGGAGCTAATTTTTGAACTGGTAAGGTATTGTCTCAACTATGAATGGGGCAATCATGCAAAAGTATTGAATAACTATGTGGGTAATGTGGGTGGGAATGAAAGGGCAGGGGAATGAGGGGAAAAAGTGGTGTAAAAATAAATTAATTAATTTGCGGGTGATGGCGATTGGTTTTAGTTTTTTGTGTGTTTTTTTTGGGGTATCTAACGTTTTTACGAGTGGAAGGGTCTGTAGCCGTAGTGGGTTTACCACTGAAACACATTTAGTAACGGTTCAAGTAGTTTGGACATTTAATGGATTTTTAGTTATTTATAGCCAGTGTCAGTAGATAATGGCATGTAGTAAATGAGTATAGTTTTATTAGAAGTTTAGTGGTTACTTATACATACGCCCGTTTCACAAGGAATTAGTTAAATTAGTTTTGATACAATAAATAATTTTTTCTTTGCCGTCCCAAGTAGTAGTAGGGTGGGCAAAACTAACTAAATATATTTTTAAAGTGAATTTTTTTTTTAATTCAATTCTGTGCTCCTTTCCATTTTTGCACCTTTTTTACTTGTACGCTCCAACGCTCGTGCAAACTTTTTAATTAATAAACAAAGCAGCAGCAATTTCCCCATTTCTCTACAGCAAGCAACAATAACTTCGTATTGAATCAATTTGCTTACACTATTTACTACATACATATGTATTTCTTCTTAACAATTTCTCTTTTCATATACATGTACTTGCAACATTTTTGTTTCCTCTGGCTGTTGGCTGTTGGCTATTGGATGTCGCTATTGTTATGTACCGCTACAATGGCCTTTTGTTGCAATCACCATATCGTCGCAACTACAATGAAATACCACCAATCAATCGTCTACACAACAAACTTGTTGCCACGCGCTTGTCGCACGTGCCTCATCGTTGATGAACATGTCGTTTGCGAAATGTTGCAAATTAGGTAAAGGATATCTGCAATGAACTGGAAGTGCGTACATTGTGTCACAAAATCCTGCAGAACGTGTCAATATTATTGAATGCCGATCGTGGCTCATTGTTTTTGGTGCAAGGACGTTGCAGTACCGGCATTGATGGACCCAAGAAGTGAGTATGCCTTTTTGAATGTAAATTTATCTAATTGTTTTTTTTTTTGCTTGATGCATTGTTTATTTGGATTAAGAGAAAATGAAGAATGAATAGGGTGATGATGATGATTGTAAAGGAATATAAGGGCCATGATAGTCAGTTGCATACTAAAGCAAATATACATATTTTTGTGTGTATGAATAAATTCGTGTGAACTAATCAGACAGAATTCGCGTAATTCACTTTAGTTTCATAAATTACCCCAGTAGTTGGTTTTAACTAAATTCGTTATAAAATTAAGAAAACAAGTAATTTTTAAGCAAAAAAATCCGACTTCATTTCCATATAAAAATTTAAGATAACCGTTAATTACTCCCACTCACTACATCCAAAACTCTTAGTTAATACTGTTTTGAAAGAAATATAAAGTACGCAGATTTTTTCAAATAATTAAATTTTATGTCAGCATTTTACGGAAGCTAAAAATGCGTTCTTCGAATATTTTTTTGCGCACAGCATCAAAAACGAAGAACATTGAAGAAAGTACGCGCCTTTAAGGCTCGAGTTATAAGATTCTAAATTGAATTTCCTGCAGAATGTCAATATTTTGCCTACTTTCTAAACAATATTAACAAACACTCAAATTCGTAAAAATAAAGGCCTTAAATGCTTTATAAAACAGCTAAAAAAAATAAAAAATAAAATATATGTTGTAAATTGCGATACCTGTTCAGATTTATTCGCCACTAAAATTATTGTTGGTATAAATTGGTACATACAGATGGGTTTTAGTACATTTATATTTTGTGTGTTTTTTTTCTTTTTTATATATTTTTCTTTAAAATTTCTTGTTATAAAGGACTGACTTTTTTGGTCTTTTAAATTTATTAAAAAAAATATGTAATTGACTTCAGTGACATTGTCTTAATTTTTTTTGGGATTTTTTTTTTATTTATAAAAAAAATTCCTTGTTTTCAGTGACATTGTAACTTTGAACAAAAAAAAAAAAAATAAAATTAGAAGTTGTTTAAAAGCATAATTTCAAAGCAGAGCATAAATTATAATACTTGCGCGTGAAAATTTGAGAAACAATTTTTATTTCTCGCAATACATAATTCAATTTTACAAAATATATCTACTTTTTTCATGACTTGCTTAAATTTATTTTTAGTCAAAAACTTATAAAGTGAATAGAGGCTAAAACTAAATATTGAATTTCATAATTTTGAACATTTTTGGCGGCTAATACGATGATTCAAGATGGTAAATAGCGAAGCTTGCATTCTACTCCAGTAAAGCTGTCTTTTTTTATTTAAGGGTTTAAAAAAAATATAACCATAAAAAATATTAATTTGTTTTTGTTTTTTAATATTTACCTAAAACATATCTTGAAAATCATATCCGATTTTAGGCATGTAACAACATTCCACAAAAAAGTCCTCAAATGCTGGCAAAGCGTTAAATCTATTTTATTTTTCATGAATGAGTCCGTAAAAGTTTTGGATGTTTGATCAAGATATTATTTCTTAATACATTTTTTTTTAATGTTCGGCTTTTTGATGAATTTACCAAACATTTTTCATATCTTAATTTGAATATTTTAATTTTTGCTATTTAGATTGGTGACAAATCTATTAAAAACATTTATGAATCATAGTATTTCCTCAGAAATTGTAATTTTTAATTGAAAGTAATATGAAAACTGGCAGAAGAGAAAAAATTATTTTCACTTAAATTTGCAGAATAAACCGACAGACAGTTTTTCAAATTGGCTTCTTTAAAAAAGTAGTTTTGAAATCTTAAAGCTAATGTTGAGTAAAAAGTGGTGAATCTTTTCCCTCAGGTTTTTTATTTTTCAAATAGTAGTCATAATTATGGTTTTCGTTTATATTATTTATGTATTTATTTTTTTTTAATTATCTAACTGAAAGTATATTACTTAAAATATGATCCGGAAAAATTCTCCGGAAATTTTTCTCAGTGTAGCAAATTTGCTAATTTGCTAGCTAATAGTGCTAATAGAGTGCACTGAGCGCTTTCCTTCTTTTGCCTTCGTAGGAAAGTGGTATGTCAAGTGTAACCCATGGAGTGAAAAGGGAGGCTAACTACAGACTCTCCCTTTCCATACTGCTTACTTTTTGAGGCAGTTAAGTGCAGATTGTAGTATTTCAGTGACCGCCGATATGAACTTCTCATACCAGCAGAATTATGTGCGTAAGTCAACAGCCTTCCGATTAACCTTAATAGCGTTTGATGTAGTGCCAAGGACAAACTTGTTTAGTTCGCTATCCAAAAAATAATCAATGGATCTAACCACAAAGAAACCATAAATGATAATAAAAAAATAATTTAAGGGCAATCACTAAGAGCATAAGCCGTTTATTATAGTTTTAAAGCCCATGATATTTCAACAATACAACTGGTTATTACACTTTATTGAATACGTTTTTTGTATTAAACATACCAAAAAAATCATCTGCATATGAATTAAAATTAGTGTGCGCTTCTTTGAATTTACCTCAATTAGTTAAGCGTAATATTTTAGCCAGCAATAAAAAGCTCAGCTACTCACTAATTTAACTGATAACTTAATCCTTTGCATATTTCATTTGCATTTCAAATTAATTTGTTCGATATTGTAATTTATGTCGAAGCATTTTTTTATTACAGCCAAAGTTTTTTATGCTTTTTTTTTAATGCATTGTGTGCGCATTAATTTTTGCATATTAAAACACACATTTACATTTAAAATAATATTTGTTTATACTTATCGTTTAGTGCTGTGGGCTGCTCTGCTGCTTTTCGTGCTTGCAGCAGAAAGTTCAAGGATAAATAAATATGTAATTACACCGGCTGTAAAAACCAAATATTTTCGCTAATAAATAAAAGACAAATATTATTAAATGTTTTGCCATTTTAGTAGCCATTAAACAATATTTATACATGCACATTAAAGTGGTCCAATTTTTGTACGGGGAAAAAAATTTTCATCCTAGAAAACGGGGCATCCCCTTAGTTTTTTCCTTTTAATATTTCTACTGCAACCATTACAGGGTGCTGAATGACCTTGAAATGCAATACTGGCTCGCTGTGAAACTGGCAAAAATATTGATGATTTTTATAAAAAGGCGCTATTGCCATAATAACTGAAACTGGTGATTTTTTTATATAATTTAAATTTGAAATGTTCTTAGGTTCTATGAACATCATGAGCATCCTCTAAATTTATACTGAGAAACGTAAGGTTTGGTACCAGCACCTATTTGGGCAAAAGAAAAAATGTTTGGAAGGTGCCCCAAACCCTTCTTGGAAACATTTTCTTTCGACCACCCCAAAGGTTAGGATGTCCAGAATTTTTTAACATTCCAGGAGGACATATTCTCCACATTGAAAACACAAACAAATTTTTATATTTATTTTGACACCTAAATAACAAATACATTAACAATTCAAAGTTTCTCTAAACACAAGACAAACAAGTTAATAGCACAATGCGTTGCATAATTATAAGACCGCCACATATTAACAAGTTTTGACTATTTATTTTTAAATTATTTCATTGTAATTGTATTACTTCCAAAAGAAATGGCTTTTGTTCTTTCAAAAGTTCTTTCTTTCAGTCTTTCATCAAAGTTCGATAATAATTTTCTCTAAGAGAATTTAATGCCCTGCAAGAATATGCCTAGAAAACAGGTTAATCCCTTCTTTATAACTTTATTTAACGGTTCAAAAGTTATAACATTTTTAGTGAAAACAAATTTTTTTACATTTTATTTACATAAAAAAATTTCAAATTCCCACCGAAACCTTTTAAAATTGAAATAAAAATTTTTCCAAATGGGAGAATTTCCTTCTCAGTAAATAGGTTAAAAAAGATGTTGACGAAAAAGAAATTTTGGCGAATGTTAGATTTATGGGATAGCAATAAAAAACAACTTTAAAAAATTTGGAGTTCTGACTTTTTGGGTTTTATATTGGTTGGTTTGGTTTTTATAGTACATACATATGTATGCCCTATGATTTAAATAACTGATTCCTAATTTAAATAATAACAGGCTTGCCTTTGTGGCTTAGTGTAGTGAATCTGTCTATCGGATCCGGCAAAATCCAACCACTGTAACATATAGCTCCCAAAAAAACTGACTGTTCAGATGGGAAATTTTTTTCTTATAACTCTCCATTTATGCAGCTAGGAGCATGAAGTTTCGCACTTTTTTCACTTATTGTCAATAGAAATCTTACAGTGAAAATCACAAAGATCGGATCATTATAACCTATAGGCTATAGCCTCCATGCAACTGATTGTTCAAATATGGGGTTTTATCTTAAAAGCCTTTCTTTTGAACGGCTTAAACCTAGCAATTTCCTGAGCTGTTTTCTAAATAATCATACGAAGTCCACTGAAAAAATCGTCAAGATCCTATAGCACTAATTGTTCAGATAACAGTTTATACGATATAACTCTTTTATGTAGGCAGCTAAAACCATTAAATTGTGCGACCCGTTTACATATCGATGATAAAAAATATTTAAAATCATTTATATCAACGCTTTATATTATTGTTCAGATATGAAATTTACTTTATTTACCACTTAAAACTTGCACATGGAATTTTTTAAAACTTAATTAAAATTTTTTTGAAATATAAGACTATTAATTTTTCGAAAATCTGACCTTTGACCTTATAACACCTGAAAAAAAGTTATATACCGTTCAAATAAGAGCAAAAGGCGAACCACGTCTATATTTTTACTTTTTTAGTTGTTTACATAATTAAAAACAAATTTTTTACCCAAGGTCCAATTTCGACCTTCGAAGGCCAATGTCTCAATTTTGGAGACTAACTTTGAAAAACGGAGAAATTACTTTTTTAATTATGATCTATTAAAAAAAGTTGGTTTGCTCCCATACCCAGCCAATTACTGTACAGTGTTATTAATTGGAAAGTATAGTCAATTCAATCAATCAATTCAGAAATTTATGTCGATCAATTTTCGCCACTTTGGAGGACCTTTTGGCTTGTAGTGCGCTGTGGAACTTTATGCTCAATAATATTTTGTACCAACGTTCCCTGATTAAAAATGATTTATAGATTTTTAATTTGCTTGTTTTGTTATTAACTCGACTTTGTTTATTGCCTAATAACTTGTAATTTTACATGCAATATAGTTAGTGATAACTACATATATGTATAGTATATACATACATATATACTTACATACAATAAGCACATAAATACATTCACAAGCATATCCACTTCCGTTTTTCTGATGTCTTTTGGCAATACATAGAACAAATTACGTCTTACATTGGGGTGAAGTGTTGTGAATAGTGACTTTTATGGCGACCCTATGTTGCACATGCTACCAGGCAGTTTCGCCACAAGAAACAACAAAACGAACTTAACTATGATGAATTGCAAATAAATTAGGGATAATGTGTTGATTTTCATAAGAGATTGCTGAAATTTTTGTAACAGATATGAAAAACGATAGCCATGGCAACTTGAGTGAACGATAGGAAAAATTTTGGCAGAAACGTTGCTTCTCATTCATACATATTTAACATAAACATTTTTAACAGATTGTAATTTTTTGTTCTTTTATTTATCGTTTAACTCAGATGTCTCGTTTCCAAATTGTTCGACGTTTGTCCACGCAGCACCGTGGAAGAGATGGAACAGCAGGAAGAAGTGCGCGTTGCTTGGGGCACTGGCATTGCAGGACATGTGGCTGAGAGCGGTGAACCAGTGAATATACCAGATGCGTATCAGGTGAGTAATACCACAAAAAAAAAAAAAAGCAAAAGAGTAAAATAGCTAATAATGAGAAAAGACAACTTCAAGAAGGTATAGATAAAGTAGATATAATTCGCTGGCTTATAAAAGAGGTTAACTGAAATTTTTAATTACATATTTTGTTTACGATATTGATACTAGTGATACCATAACAAAATCCATAGCGATAACTATAACATACTGATTAAGTAAGGATGGTCCTACTGATAACGACAGCGATAGCGATAACGATACTAAATGATTTTCATAACGATAATGCCATAGAAATATCGATAAAAAATCGATAACGATAGTGGTAGTTATGAAGATAATTATAACTACAGCGATAACAATAACAAACCGATAACGATAATGACAATCATAGCGATAATGATAACGAAAACGATAAATATAAAAAACGATAATATAAAGATAAAGTTAACGATAATAGTAACGATGACGACAGCGATAACGATGACAAATCGATAACAATAATACCAATCATAATGACGGCGACGACGATAACGTCAATGCTAACGATGACGATTACCATTACGATTTCAATTACGATTACAATTACTATTAGTATAACGATTCCGATTTCGATTACTACAACTATTTATTAAGTTTACGATTTTGGTTACACTTTCGATTACGATAACCTTTACTATTATGATTAGGATTATTGGCATTACGATTACGACTAAAATTACGATTACAGTACTGATTATGATTACGATTACCATTACGATTACGATTACCCATACGATTACGATTACGGTTACGATTGCAATTAGGATTACTATTACGATTATGATTAAGTTGACGATTACAAATAACCATTACTTTTATGATTATCTATACGATGACGATTGCGATTAGAATTACGATCACTTTTGCGATTAAGAGTACGATTGCGAATACGATTGCAATCACGATTACGATTACGATTAAAACTACGATGACAAGGACGATAACGGTTACAATTTCGATTACGATCACTATTACGATAACGAATACAAATCCGATTGTAGTTGCGATAGTGATTGCGATTACGATTTGAATTACGATTACGATTGTAATAAAATGAAAGTTGACAAAAACGACTACAATTATTTCATTTCAGAAAATTATATAAAATCCAAATGATTAATTTAATTCTCTGCACCATTTAGATTTGTTTTCTGTGTCCTTAAAATGTTTGACGTAAATTCTTAAGAAGTTATAATGAAATTTCCTCAGACAGTCTCAATTCATCTGAGAGAAAATTTGATTAACTCTAATCTTTTTCAAGACTAAAACTGTTCAAATACTTAATTTATTTTTTGTTGAACTTATTTCTGGAACTCCATTGATTGAAATAAATGCAAGAAGAGAGCTTAGCAGTACAGGGAGGCATTAATACATGTTGTTCCTTGCTATTAATCCGTTTTTCAAACATGACAGTCGGAATTGACGACAAAAAGTTGAATTTCTTTCTTTGTATTACTTTCCTTTATGATTTCTTTACACCGGAACTAAGTCAAAATATTCTCTTTCTCTGTGTGGCCACACTTTTGTTTATGTATCATTAATCATATTTCTACGGGCATCATTTTTGATTTTAAAACATCTCTCCGATCATAAACTATTTTTCATATTTCGATTTTTTGCTTTTCACTTAACTTTTTGCTTTGGCAAGCGTGCGTTGAGTAGAAAAAAAGAGGAAATAAAAATTTGTGAAACAATTTTGTAAAGATTTATGTACTTACACATGTATGTATGTATATGTATGAAAGTATTTTCCACTGCGCCACATTTTTAACTATTTGCAACTGCAAAGAAATTCTTTCAACTGGTTTGCCATTTTCACAGCATCCTACATCCTTATATTCCACTGACAGACGTAAGAGAAAGATTAATGATAATTTTGCTTTTATGTTTTGTGTTTGCTTGTGTATTTTCGTGCGTCCACTTCTTTTCACCGGAACTCTACTGTTAAATCTTGTGAAAAGCATTGGGAAACGCATAAGTACAAAGAAAAAACTCCAAAATGTTGGCATGTGCTTAGTGGATTTAACGAGTTGATGTGTAAGTTCTTTATGCAATTAATCTTCTTAACAAAGGAGGAAAAATTTCGTGACCACAAAAGAACTTCGCTAAAGTAATATTGAGTTAAATGTTTTGGAGTTAGAAATGAAAATGCAAGTAGTGAACGAATTGGGTATTTATTAAAGCCGTGAGCAGTATTTTGAAATAAGTTCTTAAAAGAAAATTTAGCAATATTTTCAGGACCTGGCTCGAAGATCTTGCAAGCCATTTGTAATGCCTGGGAGAAGATTTTCGCTGACCTGTACCTGTATGTCTTTGCATCATCCTGACTTTCTGGAGAATCCTAGTAGAACCGCTAACGCAGCCTTTTCGAAGCTGTTTGAGCTTCATGAAGACGTAGATAGATTCTGTCTCTCTGACGTTTGGTTTGGGATCCGCGCGAATGGCTCCTGTTGCATGAAGTATGGACATGGCTACCCGAAAACCTCGAGCAAGACTTTTTGAACCGATCTATCTTTTCGCTAAGCTTGCTGAGTATCGTTTAAATTTGCGGAAGTATGGCTGCGGGAAATGTGTGGACTCGAAAGTCTATCAGTAAACTTAAAGACAAACGAGGAAAATCTTTTCCAGTGTTGTGGCCCGTATTGTCTATTTTAGGGATAAAGTCTGCTCTTTACTCGCTCAATGGCTCTGATATGAAGTATAGCTAAAAAGTATATTACAGCTGTACATTTTCTAAAGGCAGGGAGTAATGAGTCTTGTGGTCATCGTCCTTTGTATCCTGTATGGTATGATTCCGTACGTATCCAGAGATTTATACCTAGGTTGGGAATGATCTGATATTTAGACTTTGCTTCTTTATGTTCTCTGACGGGTTGAATGACTAAAATGCGTATAGGTGACTATTATTACTATTATTGTGTCTGAGATTCTTCCCAGCTCCTTGGTAGTTTTGCTTTGTACCCTTTATATGTGTCGCAGAAAGTCTCGGGACCATGCAAACGCATTTGGGCTCCACGTTTTGCGCGAAAATGTCCAGGCCCCCTACACAGCGTCCATCTATTATGGGCTCCTAGGCTATTCAGAAGGGTTTTACAACTCTCTACAAGCCTCGGTGACGTTATAAAGGAGTCTAAGGCCTTTAGTGCTATCTGACTCTGACATAATATTTATTTTGGTGCTATTTGTCCATCTACGAAGACATTCGCGAACATATACTTCGATTTCGAAGACTACCGCCTTTAATATGGTTGGGTATGAGCCCAATGGCTGACTTTTCTGGTCCAAGTACGCCTGCCCCAGTACTTACGTCATGTATCTTCGATCACTCGGAATACCACACTTGGGACCCTTTGTCTGCCATAGATATTATCGCTTCAAAGCAGTCCCTTTTAGGAGTTATCACTTTGTAGGCCTTGCCAAAGGATAATTTCGGTAGTACCTTATCTGGGAACTTGATAGTGGGATCATGTAGTAATGGCTTGAGAACCTACAATTGAATCCGAAGATCCATACTTTTTTGATCAAGCGGTATAGATTGCCCAAGGTGGCAACTTCGGTGTCATAATAAACTAATTCACTTCTTTATGCCACCTTTTTGCACACCCGTTGTTTTTTTACCTGATTTATTAGACATTTGATATCGCCAGTTATTTATGTAAAGTACTCTTGAGCGGTGCTTGTACGAGCTCTCTACTCTCAAGAAGATTTCACAAATATAAATTGTATTTTGCTTGTGTTTGGAAAATATGGACAAAAATGTTTAGGTCTGGTCAAGACTGGTTGAATGCAGTCTAAGGTGGTATACAAACATATAACAGCAATTTCAATTATAATTTATCTTGATAACGGGGACTCATATTGAGTGTTTCAGTGTTTCACAATACAAATCGCTTTTGAAGAATATCGGTAAACAAAGGGCATTTAGCCCAGCTGACTGATTTTTCTTCTTGAAACATTGTTGTTGTTGTTGTAACAGCATACAGATTCCCCAAAGAGTTTTTGGGGAGTGTTGCTGTAGTGACAGTCCTTGGCCATCTGGGTCGTTCCGGTTACGTAGACCCGACTGTCGTGGGAACGATTCTTGAAACATTCGATAGGTTCGGTTAAACATGGGCGGCATAGAACCACACGTAGACTAGTAGCTCTTAAGCGTTGCCAGTTGGAGTTCGATTTTATTCATTGGGACTACCCAAAATTATCCCTAAGTAGTTCTAAAATGGTTCTAAAAAAGTCATGTCTTTGTCCTGAAATGATAACGAACAAGTTGTGAAGCGGTCCCAGATTGGTCCCTTATTAGTCGAAAAGTCTCCTGCCCTAGTCCAAAAATAGTCCTAAAATGAGCTAGAAATGATCCTAAATTAGTCTCGAAATGTTCATTAGAAATTCCATACTATTCGCGAAATGTTCCCGAACTAGTCCCAAAAATGCCTTAATGTCCCGTGTGCTAGTCTAAAATGGACCTGAAATTTTCGTGGCCTCACTCAAAAAGGTCCAAACCAGGGCTGAACCAGTACCGAAATGGTCCTGAGCTAGTCTCAGATGGCCAGAGCTGAAATAGTCGCGAACTAGTCACGAAATAGTCCTGAATAGGTCCCAAAACGGTCCCGAACTACTCTCGAAATAGTCTTGAACAGTTCCCGAAAAGGTCGAAAAACTCGTGAACTTGACCCGAAATGATCTCTAACAAGCCTTGAAACGGTACCGAAGTGGTCTCTTATTGTTCCAGAAGTGATCTCTAATCAATTTGACTAAATAGAAATAGTTCCGAAATGTCCTAAACTAGTCGTGAACTTGTCCCAAAATGGTCCTAAAGTGGACATAAACTAGTCCAAAATTGTAAAATTGAACACACAAGCAGCAATCACAGATTTTCTGCTGGGTTACACATGCCGCTGATACAGATTTTCTGCTGGGTTAAAAAAATGTTACCCATACTGAGAGCCACGATGTATACACATTAAAATGCCAACGTTACAAACATTAAAATTAATGTAAACGTCAGTGAGTAATATTAAAACAAATAACAACAGCTACTTGATAGACTATTTCACCGATAAGAACGGAGACCCGTTGCTCATCGCTGCCAATGCGTCGCCGTCGACTTTTTACTTAAACCACATTTTCGCCTTAATACTAATGTAAATAATAAAATATAAGCAAGTGTATGTATCCATTTGCGCTGCGCTGTTGTTTTAGTGATTTAATTCGTACTTATTTTTAATCAGCGCATCAATATTGTTGATAGTACAATCGCCCAACGCCCCATTATTTTGATGATGTTGGTGATGATGATGATAAATAATTTTCACTATGGCGGTTGCGAGCGAGTCATCGGAGTTTATTTATGAATGTGCGTATGCCTGCTGTTTTTTGCGTATTATTTTCATTTAAAAAGGCTTTCGAGCTTATCAGATTTCCTACTTTGCCATACATGAGTCAATGCATTTTTTTCCCCAGAATACAAGCATTTGCGGTGCTCTTTGCCTGGTAATTGCTTACTTATTAATTTAAATGCTTACACATGCATGCACTTAAGTTGTTTCCAGGGAAGGGGATGAGTTCATAATAAAAATTGATTATGCAATTGATAAGCTGATAAAAATCCTCAATGAGTTGCCATTTGTTAAGCAATTTTACATGGCAATCCTGGCCAAGATAGTTGCAGCTCTTTTGTATGACAATTGAAAGGCGGCAGTAGGCAAGACAGTTTGGAAGATTATGTTTATTCTGGCACGAAAGTCTTACACAAAAAAAAAAGCTCCCATGCCAACTCTCATGGTGAAAAGCTCTTTTGACAAAAAGCACTTGGTCATTTCTAATAAGAGATGCATATCATTTCACAATGGCCGAGTGAGCAAAGCCCTGGCGCACCATTCGAGAGATCCGGGATTCGATTTCTCGGACATCGCTTTTTTGATGTTTTTTTTAGGTATTTTTTGCTTTTTTTAAATAATTTTTTTTTTTTTAATTTTTTAATTATATTAAAAAGAAAAATAAATATGTTTCTAATTTAATTTAATTTTTAGTAACTAATTTCGTGATTTTTTTTCCTTTTTTAATTTGTTTATTTGTATGTCATTTAATTGTTAAGGTAGTGTCCCACGATTGGGCATTCGCCAATTTTTTGATTTTGTACCAGTAGTTCAAATAACAAAATTTACAAATCTCTACAAATGTACCAATCGTGTGACACTGCCTTTAGAAACTTGTTTAATTTTTTTCTTTTTGAATCATTTTATTTTTTATTTTAAGAGTTTATTGTTTAAAAAAATATATATATTTTTTAAATTTCATTTAGTTTCTAGGATCTTATTTTGTTTTATTTTATTTTTTTTAATTTAATTTTCTTCTATTTTTTAGAATTTATTATTCAAAAATTTGTTATTTTTAATAGCACTTAGCTTTTGCAAACTTATTGTATTGTTTATTTAACATATTTGCTATATTTTTTATTTCATCTTGAGATTTTAATGATTTAAAACTATTTTTTTTTTTAATTAATTTAACTTATAAAAACCTATTTTATTTAAAAGTAAACCAAAATTTTCTATATCTTAAACATTTTTTTTTGTACCTTGACTTCATTTTCGGATTATCTTGAAATTCTTAGATTTTATTATTTAAAAAGATTTTTTTTTTAATTTCATTAAGTTTTTAGGAACTTATTTTATCTATTTTATTGTTTTAATATTTTTATTTTTATTTTTTAGTTTTATCTAAAGATTTGGTATATTTTTTTTAAAAAGAAAAATATTTTTTTTTTAAATTTAATTTAATTTAATTTTTAGAAACGTTAAAGTTAAAGCAAAACTTGCTATATCTCCAAAACTTGTTTATACCTTGTCTTTTTTTCGGATTCAGCGGAAAATTTTACTTTAGAAGTGATGGGCAAACACCAAAGGTCGGAAAGTTTTTTTTTTTTAATTTCTGTAAACTTGTGTAATTATTAGAATCTTACCTTAAAGTAGATAAATAACGAGTACTACTAAATATTTTATTTGCTCAAATTCAATTAAGTACTTATGTCCTTTTTATTTAACTGTTATAAAGCTTAAAGTAATTGCTCTAAATTAATTTTCCATTTTTTTCCTTATACATATTCTCTTTGCAGGATGAGCGCTTCAATGGTGAAATCGACAGCATAACTGGCTATCGGACAAAAGCGTTACTTTGCATGCCCATTAAGGATTCATCGGGCGATGTCATCGGTGTGGCGCAGGTCATTAATAAATTAAATGGTGAATGCTTCACAGAGGCCGACGAGAAGGTAAGAAAAGCAGCACAGCACACTGATAAGCAATCAAAATTAAAAGCAACTAACAAGTGCCAGCAAATTTTAAACACTGTTATGACCGCAATTTATTCACAATTGTTCAATTAAATTGAAATTTATACGTTTGTAGATGTAAAGTAACTTTCGAATTGCGAATTGTGTGTGTGGAGGACACTTAAATTTTTTATGACAACCAGAGGCGCTCACTTACTGTACATACACACTTTTATGGCTCTGCATCTTTTATTTGCCACAATAGATGCGACACGCGCAAACAAAAACACTCGGACAAACAAGCGCCTCTTACTTACTTTCCATGCAACAAACATATGTATTCATACTTGTAGCAACGCTTTGGAGGGCGGTTATATGGATATTGAAAAGTTTTCACTTCTCGGAGTATTAAGCATTTTCCGGTTGATTCCTTTCATTGGTTTTGCACTTACTTGGACAATTCGCGTCTAACGAAAAACTTTGTTGAATCAATTTTTTATCGTTTTAGTTTTCTTTTGCATTTTTATCTTTTTGCATTTTTATTGGCATTGAACAATCTCGGTTGACAACTTTCCTTTAACAACTTTGTCGCACCAAAATTTTTTTTTCGGCCGTTTAAAATTTGCTACCATTGTCTGTCTGGCACGTGGTTACTTTTGGATGGTGTAGGCAGAGTGTGGGTACAGAAAGGGGAATATGCAGCTGTAAAAATTAACATAATTTCTTGCGGCCGGTGGATATAGGTTTGGCCGTCAAGAATTTAAAAATTGTAATTTTCTTAACTTTAAGTAGACTCGATTCTGGTTTTATAAATAAATAAAAAAAAAAAAATTTATTTAGGTCTTCGCTTCCTATCTGCAATTCTGTGGCATTGGCCTGCGTAACGCTCAGCTTTACGAGAAATCTCAGCTGGAAATTAAGCGTAATCAAGTGTTACTCGATTTGGCGCGTATGATCTTCGAGGAACAGAGCACAATTGAGCACATGGTATTCCGTATACTCACACACATGCAGAGCCTCATACAATGTCAGCGCGTACAGATTTTGCTGCTGCACGAGGCGTCGAAGGGCAGCTTCTCGCGCGTATTCGATTTTGAAGCGAACGATCTCAGTCACGAGGAGAATACGTCACGGACGAGTCCGCATGAGTCACGATTCCCCATAAATGTGGGCATCACCGGCTATGTGGCGACAACTGGTGAGGTGAGTAAGAAGAATTTTATTTGCAAAAATGTTTTTTTTTTCGCGGAGGCGGCAATATTCAAATGCATTTTCTAATTCTAAGAAAAATTAAATGGAAGAACAAATAAATAAAATAAAATAAATACCTGCACATTTTGCATCAAGCATGCAAGTAGTGACCCCCGGATGCATTGTAGCCTCGGTTTTGGTATTTCAGGCTTCTGCTTTGCTCGATTATAGATCTTCTTATAACTCAAATGCTTTTTAGCCCGTGCGTTGGAACCAGTTAACCTTACAATAGCTCTCTTCGCCTGAGTCTGGATATAAATTTACTCCTCCTCATTAGCTTTAGAAAACCTCCAAAGATTCCATTGCCTCCGGTTATGCATACGAATACTAGATTTGGAGTCGTCAGGGAGACCAAATAACGGACCTCGATAGTCACCTTCGGCTGTAGGTCAGAGATTGTTGCTACTTTTTGTATGGACACTTTACTTTTTCACAGAATTGGGATCTGATTTACTGAACTTTATCACTTCTAATAGTACTGCTCCAACTCAGGTGTTTCTAATTATTTTTACCCGTTCAGTATTAGGCTTAAATTTTCTTATTGTACTCTTTGGTACTTCTGTGTTGGTTTAATGAGAACAATTTCTGTGTGTTTCTTAATTTATGCTATTTAAATCAAATTTTTCTTGACCTTCTGCTCTTAACTTTGGTTAGGTTAGGTTAGGTTGGGAGAGCATTTATGGAATGTTCTATAGTATTTTCACTCATAGACAAAATTACCCTCTACAACTGAGTGCCAGGAGGAGACGCGTACTCCTAACAGAGGAGGTTCCTATTTAGAGAAAATTTAAGTACTTTCATGTCACTATCCTACTACACCAGTTGCTATCCCTAATGAAATTGAGGATATCCAACAGTTCCGCAGTCACTATCTCGCCCAGACTGTTGAAAAAGCTTGACCCCACTGCGTGAGGCGCTTCGACTGTAGGTCCGGATCATAATAATCTTGCGATCTCACAGTCTTCCCGTTGGTTCCACAAGTCATTAGTAGCGGCCATAGTGTATTCATCAATCTTCTTAACGGGATAAATGAACGGTGGTAGTACGGAGTTATTCGCCTCGTTAATTGCCACCTCAGAGCCGTATCTAGCCATCTCATCAGCCGATTCACTCCCTTAAATATTGCTATGTCCGCGGACCCAGCATAGAGTGAGGTTGATGTGGCTAAGTGATGACAACGTGGCTCGAATTTCCATACAATTCCCGATTTTACTATTTTAGATTCTACTGCTTTCAAACACTAACGACAAAGATCATCCAGATTATCATCTGGAACCATACTACCAAGTAAAAGACTAGCCGCTATCTCTGCAGCACTGATCTCTACTTGGAAGACTCTACAATCGTTCGGCAGACGAAAGGACTGTTTGATCTGAAGATACTCCGAGTAGAGACCGTCTCCGGTTCCTTAATCCATCTTTGAGCCATAAGTGTAGATGCATATAACCTCCTCTAATGTAGCCAGTGCTGACTTCTTTGTCAGCTATAAAGGGGTTTAATTTCATTGAGTATTGCTGCATGCCCGATATTGGTTGGCTTCCACGCATTGGCTTCTCTGGGCCTGACATATGCTGCTAGAGTCGGAATCATTAGAGGAATGATATATTCTAAAAACCTATTCTTCAGAAAATTTTACTAGGAGGCTTCTCAGGCAAAAACTTCATGCCACCAACGTAGAAGTCTCTAAAAATGAAAACCGTAATGTTTTTATATTTCGGCCTAAGCAGTTTTCAGAAAAGTGGAAAAAATGGTTAAAAAAGGAACTTTTGCGTCTCTTGCCACATGCCTCCAATTTGGTGCTCACCTACTCTTTCCGTCATCACCTTGCCTATTAGGATTTGCCTCATAAACTCCAACCGTGTAAAGCCCATTCAAAGTCCCTTCAAGGCACTTGTTATGATGTCAGTTATTGAAAGCGCTTTAAATGTCCAGAGAATTTGTAAGCGAACAGTCCTGGAAGCACTTTTTGAAAGTTGCAAAGCCCTGAGATATTTCTGATTTATTTATAAGCCTTTGGCGATAAAAACAATGTTAAATTTTATACAGACCCTGAAAATAATGGAAAGGCAATCTTAAGAAGCCTGGAGCGCAGCAGCTTGTTCTGCATGCATGATCTGCAGCTTCTTTATCGGTTTTAAAGCATGGTTTCGCCCGAAAAATCGTCTTCCTCCTACCACTTCCTATATTCACCCTTTCGCTGGAATGGCGGTCGACGGTGCTTTCCCCTTTTCGCGAACTTGTTGGGAAGATTGTGGCCATAAGTCCCGTCCCGTTGTGGTATAGGATTCATATTGCTTCTTCAGACTGATGGTCCCAAAAGAATATTTCTTAATCTGGAAAAATCATACGATTTGGATTGGTAGATTTAAATGTTTTTCAACAATCCTACAACTAGTCAAAAGGAATTTGAGAAATTAACTCGAAATCGAAACCGAAATGTGCTTGCATGTCTTTTAATTAGGCAGGCATAAAAAAGTATAATACAAAGCAAATCCTTCGTGCATTTTATGAACTGGAAACCGGCTAAACTCAACACTACTTTGTTAGTAATAGATTTTTTGTATTTTACTCTTTTTCCTCAGACTGTAAATATACCAAACGCTTACGAAGATGATCGCTTCGATGCCAGCGTTGATGCTGAGGGAAATTTCAAGCATAAGTCCATTTTGTGTATGGCAATAAAGAACTCGCTCGGCCAAATTATTGGCGTCATACAGCTAATAAACAAATTTGATGATCTGGTAAGTAAAATATAAAAAAAAGAAAATCCTACTTTAACTTTCTTATTTCATAACTCAAAAATTTCTCTCAATTTTAGAACTTTACCAAAAACGATGAGAATTTCGTCGAAGCCTTCGCCATCTTCTGCGGCATGGGCATACACAATACACACATGTACGAGAAGGCAATTGTGGCTATGGCCAAGCAAAGTGTCACATTGGAAGTGTTGAGCTATCATGCATCGGCGACCATGGATGAAGCGCATCGGCTGAGGGTGAGTGAGCAATTGAAAGCTTGAAATATTAGCTAGCATTAAAATAGTTAAAGTATGTATGTATGTATGTATATAAAGGGCTCAAGTAGAGTACCCAAAGTAGTAAAAGTTTCGCTTGAAGTGCACAAATACAGTGGCGCGAATGCACTCCGCGAGTCTGCATTGCATTGGCAGCCCGGTGGCAGCATCTTTGTTAACTTTGTATGCAACTGTCGTGGCTGTGGCAATTAATTTTGTCTTTGACAGTTCTTAGCTGCTGTGGTTTAATTTACTGTCGTATGACTTATGTGACTTATGCTACTACTGCACATGACATGTGTCCATTTGTTTACATGCGCGTGCTCCATATATGTATGTATTTATGTGTTTGTGCACAAGTGCATTTCAATGTAAATACATACACACTGACGTGGATATATATGTACATAAATATATAGCCGTTCGTAACTCAATTTCAAAGAAGTTGTAATACGACTGTCACGTTGATGTGGGAGACATATCCAATTTGACCTCAATAACCATCTTTGATTATAGTTTAAATTCATATGTGGTACAGATGCGTACATACATATCGTCGTTTAAAGTGCAAAACCGTGTATCGTGGTTCTGCAAAACCTCGTAACTGATATTTGTGCCAAAAAAGATATTTGCTCACCGGAAGCCCCTGACATTAAGCCCTTATCTATTCAAGCTAAAATAACGATACTTAGATATAAGAAGAAGAGATAATTGGGGATAAAAGCGGGAACCGTTTTGAAATAAGACAAGTCTTAATCTCTCCTAAAAAATACGAGGTTTTGCATTTTCTTGATATGCGGTTTTGTTCTTTAAACGACCATATGTATGTACTTGTGTTTACAAACGGACAATATTTGGAAATTTCTTGACATTTACAACCGCACCTTCGTCATGTTGCGGTTTCTTGATACTTGCATGTGGTGTAAGCTACTCAGTTAGTACATAGATTCAATCAATGTTTACATGGCGCTGACTCGAAGTACAGAAGAATGTTGTTTTAAGCTTTAGGATCTTTAAATTTACATAAAAATAATTATATTTTTAAGCTTACAATTTTGCTAAGTGTTTGGCCGAGCTTCTCCTCCAATTTGTGGTGTGCGTGTTGATGCTGTTACACAAACCCACTAGAGAATCGTTTCAAAATTGAAACTCTGTGGGAAAAGGCAGTTAAAGTTTGAACAATTCATGTAGTTGGTATGCAAAAAAAAAAGATCTGCTAACGAGGAGGTTTTAGCTATTTTCTTCATCTTTTAGCAATAAGTTTTTTAAAAACAAAATTAAACTAAAGAATTATGTACATACATATATTCTTCTTCTTAAAACAAAAAAACCAATAAATAAAAGAAAATTTAATTAAAAAAAGAAAAAATATATAAAATTAAAATAAAACAAAAATAAATAAGAATAATTTTGAAAATTAAAATTACAAATTAAAAAAAAGTAAGATCCTAAAAACTAAATGAAATACAAATTTATTCTTTTTAAAGCAATAAAATCTAAAAGTTAAAGGAAAGAAAAATTAACAAAAGAAAAATAAATTAAATAAAAAATAAAAAACTACATAAAATAAGCTTCTAAAAATGAAATGATATTAAACAACATCTTTCTTTTATATTTATAACCAATTTGATCTAAAAATTTAAAGTTTCTAAAAATTAAATGCAATAAAAAAAATTCTTCGTTTTATAAGAATAACATACAAAAAATAATAATAATAATAAATTATGAAAGAAAAAAATTAAATTAAAAAAGAAAAAATACATAAAGCAAGAGTAAAAAAGTAGATTAAATTAAAAAATATATTCCTTCCCTTTTAAAACAATAAAATCTAAGAATTAACTGAAGATTTTATAAAAAAAAAATTAAAAAAATTAAAAATAAAAAACCGCTGCCGCAGGACTCGAACTCGGATCTCTTGAATGGATGCGAACTAAATAATATGCAAGTGCTGTCTTTCAAAAAAAAAATTTCACCAAGAGTAAGACTTTTGTGCTAGAATAACAAAAGTCTTTCGAACTATCGTACCATCTGTCTTTCATTTGTCTGACGAAAGACCTTCTACTATCTTAGCGAGAATTACCTGTAAGTTGTTCGTATCGGTCAGTGCGAAATCAGGACTTCTATCAAAACCGAGATTTGGTGCCTAGCCAGCCCGTTTTCTTCGTCCGCTTCCGCTTATCGGTCAAGGGGACCTTGCAATTTAGCATATCGGTGCTTTTTTCCAGCGCTCGCTGTGCATACTAAAGCCCACATATCCAGTCCTAAGTCTATTTGAAGCAGTGAGCGGTCTGTAAAAATTTGTTTAGCCTTAAAGGTTGTGGTACATTCCAAAACAATGTGGTAGATTTACATACGTATATGTAGTTATTGAAATGCGAAATCTTTAAGTTTATCACGTTTTTTATTGCCCTACAAAAGATACAATATTTCATTGTCACTTACATATGTATGTCAACAAAATTAGCTTTCTCCGGAACTATCTTTAGGCGGTAATGGTCTTTGTCGGCTTTGTTTTCTCTTGAAAAGCATTTTTTATTAAAAAAATCTTTGAATAATGAAGTTCCTCCAGCAAGTTAAAAATTTACTATCGATTTTTTTTTTCAGTTACAATGTTTGCGGTTGTTCTAACCCTGTCTCTGATATAAAAAACAGCAAAAAATCCTACCTGAGTAAGCGAATAGAGCCAAAAATTAATTTCGCAAAATAACAAAGCAGTGAAGCGCGAGGAAGAACGAGTCTAAACCATTCTGGCATAAAAACCTTGCAAATGAAAACAATAGGACCACTTGTCTACATCACCATGCGAGAGGGTTTTTTTTTAAATTCTTATTACCGCTCCATTTGTTTCCAATAACGTGAAAGCTTCCTTTTTCGCAATAGCCACGTCCCACGATTGCTTAGCTCAACGCTATCGTTGTGTCACAATTACCCTTGTTTTGTTTTTTTATTGCAACTCTCGCATTGTTTGTTTTCCCTAATGTGTCTACTCCCATGACATTTTGTGGCTTGCTGTCTGACAGTTTTACTTTAAATGCTGGCAATTCAAACAAACGTGTGCACACTTATAAGCTCACATACATTTAATGAGCTAACAGGCCATTTAGTACGTTAAAGGCAGTACATAGAGGCCATGTAAAAACGCAAATGACCCATTTCTTTATTATCCTTATTACTTTTTATAATTTTAAGTGCTTGTTGCGCTCTAAGATAACTGTGGTGTATATGCGTGTGGTGTGTTTATTTTGCAAGCATTGTGTAGGTAATTATAATTTCCATTAACATTTATTAAGTGTATAACATAGGAAGGAAGATAGCAAACGTTTTGCGCTTTACTGAACGTTGTACCAGTGGTTGTAGGTAGACCACCGTACTGAGAAGCACTGGTTTCTAATTCAACTCGGCATATGACCACTTTCAACCTTTGCGTACCTAGGCTGGTTCCGATTAGATTCTTTTGAGGGAGGCAGCCTCTCAAGATTTGGGATTTCGTTGATGCTTGTCGGATGACGAGGCGAACTCATCCCAGCATTTTTTTTCAGCTGCAAAGAACCTGGACTATCAATAATATACCATAAATATCACCGTTAATTTTTGCCTGGAGCCCAAAATGGTACTTTACGGAGCCCTTTCGTGGATAACATAAATTACGCTCTATAAATCTCTCCTCGTTCTCGTTGACGACATATACTAACGAAGATTCAGGAGCCCTTCAGGAAGCTGGAAAACGTAAAATCGATTTTCCAAGTTCTCCAGTGTAGTTTCCCATTGTACTTAATACTTACGGCCGGGTTTTCGCTAGTAGTCTAAATTTAGATCACGTAAACTGCTTTCATTTTTATGCGAAAGAGAGCTGAAATTTGACTGGCTAATCGTAGTTTAAACCAGCTAGTTCGAGCGTTTAAACTACATTTACACCACAGACAGATTTAACTGTCACTGTGCATTGAAAAAACTGTCCGTTAAAGCTCAGTTAGTCTAGACTTTATTACTTAACTTAATATTTTGGAAAAAACCTATTATAGCATTTTCAGTTTAAATGAAACTTTTTTCAAATTAAATGAAACCTTTTTCAGGTTAAGCGAAACCTTTTTCAAATTAATTGAAACCTTTTTCAAATTAAATGAAGCCTTTTTCGGATTCAATGAAACTTTATTCAAATTAAATGAAACTTTTTTCAGATTCACTGAAACTTTATTCAAACCAAATGAAACTTTTTTGAAATTAAATGAAACTTTATTCAAATTAAGTATTAAACATTTTTAAATTAAGGAACAGGAAATCAACTTAACCTATTAATAGCCGTTTGCGCCATGTCTGGCTAACACTAAAGGCTCTGTTATGCATATTTGGCATTGCTTGAGAGTTGTCACATAAGGAATCTGTTAAATGAGCTTCGCGTGTAAGCTGTTACCCAACGCACAGCATTACATACGTAGAAGTCTGTTGGTTTTTGATTTCTACGTAAAAACACACACAAATACTCTCCCTTCTCACTCACTCGCTTAAGCGAAATGTAAACTTCGGCATTTGCATAACAATTGTCTAATTATTTTCTTTTAACTTAAACAAACCCTATGGATTAGAGCACAGTCTAATCACGGCAACATTCAACTTCGCTTCAAGAATAATTTTGACATGTCCCATTTCTCTTTTCCTTTTCACATCATCCTTTACATGTACTCCCGAAAACAGAGATATTTGAAGTTTTATAAAATGAATAAATTATATGATTTGCCTAGTTAGCAAAACCACTCCAAAAATCACAGCAAACCAACCAACCTACCAGAGCTTTATTTTAAGAAATGAAACCACCAATTTTGGTCCAATTGGACCGAAACGGCAACACTGTATTTAACATGCTTTGACCGTAAGGGAGAGCAACACGTAACAGCTAATTCAAAGTAATCCAAAAAAGAAGTTTCATTTCATTTGAATAAAGTTTCATTTAATTTGAAAAAAGTTTCATTTAATTTGAATAAAGTTTCATTGAATCTGAAAAAGGTCTCATTTAATTTGAATAAAATTTCACTGAATCTGAAAAAGGTTTCATTTAATTTGAAAAAGGTTTCGCTTAACATGAAAAAGGTTTCATTTAATTTGAAAAAGGTTTCGCTTAATTTGAAAATGGTTTCATTTAAACTGAAAATGCTATATATGCGAAACTGTGTTGGCGGTTAATTAAAACTAAACTTACCGTAAGAAACTTATGTAATGGCCTTATAAAAATTCAGAGCGGTGAGGGAATCAGCCTTGCGAGATTTCCGTTTTTGTATTTCTTAAAAATAAATGAACGCAAACATATCAAATCATTGACTAACTGAGCTTTTAGAGCGGTGGTGGGTATCAGCTCTTTCAAGCTTTGGTATAGAAAGCTTGCAAAGCTATTTTAACGGTTTTCACACTTCGTGTGTTTGATTTGTTTCAAATTTTTAGGGTTGATGGATAAATAATAAATAAATATTAAATTTGAGCTTGATCAATACATTTTTAAAAACTTTAAAGCACAAAAACAAAAACAAATCGATTTAAAAGTTTTTTTCTTTAAAAATTTTTCACATACAATTTTTTTGATGAAAAAAATTAATTTTTGAAAATATGCCATCTAAAAAAAAATCACAATGGTAGCTCTGAGTATCGCGCAATATTTAAGTATGTATAGTATTACGGGGTGCACTCTACAATAATTTGAGTTATGAATTTTTTTCACACCGAAGTTGAGTAAAATGAGTTCATTACAAATGTACAATTTTTTTTTTTAAATTTTTTTAGCCCATTAAATTTTAGTATAATAAAGAGCAAGTTGAAAGCGATTGCAAAACTGGCGTTAGTTTTTTTAATTTTCTTTGAAAACGGTTTTGCGCATTTTCTACAATAAGAAAAAAGTGCAAAAAGCCGTCAGCATAAGAAATATTAAAAGTCAACGAAATTCTTCAGTAGCTTAAAACTTGCGCTTTATTGTACTAAAATTTAATGTGCTACAAAACTCAATACTCTACTCTTACTAATTTAATTTCATTCTTTTTTCCAGCGATTACGCGTACCCTCTGCAGCCCATTTTCGCTTACACGATTTTCGCTTCGATGATATACATTTTGAAGATGACGATACGTTGAAGGTGAGTTCATTGCTAATCGCTTTTTTACCTCTAAAAATATTAACAAACGCTTTTTACACATATCCGCAAGAAAAACTTTTACTAATTTCCCAATTATTTCAGGCCTGCCTTCGCATGTTCCTCGATTTGGACTTTGTTGAACGTTTTCACATTGACTACGAGGTGCTTTGCCGTTGGCTGCTGAGCGTTAAGAAGAATTATCGCAATGTTACTTATCATAATTGGCGACATGCCTTCAATGTGGCTCAAATGATGTTTGCCATACTAACGGTATGTAAATTTGATTTCATTTGTTTTTGGCAATTATTTGGTACTTTGATGGCGTTTGGTTAGATTTTTCAAACCTTTTCAATTGCTTAATACTTTTTTCATTTCCTTTAACATTTTATTGTTCTTACTTTGTGTTCTTATAACTACCCTTTTTTGCTGCCTTTAACATAAATTTAAACTTAAAAAATAACGTTTTAGATTTTTGCATTACTTTTATTTGGTCACACTAATTTTTTGCACTATTTCCCTTATCTGTTGCTTTAAATCACTTTTACTTTAAAAAAGGGCGATCCTTATCTTTTGCATGCAAAACTATATAATTTCAACAGTTTTCATCTTCTACTTACTTTTTTTCTCTACAACTTTGAGTTTAAAATTGCCATATTTTATTTTTGCTTTTGATTGATTAATCAAAGATTTCCCATAATGGACAGGCGACGCAGTGGTGGAAGATTTTCGGCGAAATCGAATGTTTGGCATTGATCATCGGTTGCTTGTGTCACGATTTGGATCATCGGGGGACTAATAACTCATTCCAAATCAAGTGAGTGTACCACATGAGCTTCCGTTTTAGCAGAAAATCTTAACTCCTACTTTTCATTTTTCTAGAGCCTCCTCACCATTGGCTCAACTATATTCGACATCCACAATGGAACATCATCATTTCGATCAGTGTTTAATGATTTTGAACAGCCCTGGCAATCAAATATTAGCCAATCTGTCATCTGATGATTACTGCCGGGTTATACGGGTATTAGAGGATGCCATTTTATCAACAGATTTGGCGGTGTATTTTAGGTGAGGGTGTGGAGTTAAGCACCTTTCAATTTTATTGATTTTAATATTTTCTTATTTTGTTTTAGAAAACGCGGCCCATTTCTGCAATCCGTACAAGAACAACCGCTCAGCTATTGGGAGGCTGACGAACCCCGTGCTCTGCTACGTGCTATGAGCATGACTGTCTGTGATTTATCGGCCATTACGAAACCATGGGACATTGAGAAACGTGTGGCCGATTTAGTGAGCTCGGAATTCTTCGAGCAAGGCGATATGGAGAAACAGGAATTGAATATAATGCCCATTGTAAGTATTGGATTATTAATTAGTTCTGTGAAAGCTAAACAGAAGCGTAAATCTTTGGTCTCAATATAGGCAGAATTTATGTTAACCGAGCAGAAAATGTGTAACTGCTTCTTGTGTAACCCAGCAGGAAATCTGCAATGGCTTCTTGTGTGTACAAATGAAAATCTCTGGTCTGGTTCAAGACTATTCCAGGACTTGTTCGGGTCCCTTTCGGAACTTATCCAGGACCATTTCATAACTAGTTCATGACTATTTGAAAACAATTTCGGGACTAGTCCTACTCCATTTTGAGACTAGTTCAGGACTATCTCAGGAACATTTTTAGACTACATCGAGATTATTTCAGGTCATGTTTCACAACCTTTTCGACTGTGTAATGAAATCCCGACATACAGAACCCCGAAAGACATAATCCAGACAAGGCTAAATCCCGATCAGGCATATTCCAGACACGACCAAGCCCCAGCCATACATAATCTAGATAAGTAATCCCGACAATAAATCCCAACATAATATAAAAATAATTAAAAAAATCGCGCGATTTTTTGTTTAATTATTTTGAACGGCTTACTTAGCCCTTAATTGTCCACAGTCTCAACTAGCGGTAGGAAACTTGATGTTTCGATGGCTGTTAGTTGATTTGAATTAAGTGGGCATGTGAAGAGGTGGTTAGTGGGTTAGTGTCATGTTCGCAAACTCCACATGCTGGACATTCATTGGAGATGTTGGAAGACGAGTCGGGCCAGAGCTACGCGGGTGTCTCGTTGCAGTTGATGCTCACTCTCGTCCACAGGTGAGCATTGGACACTGATGACGGCATTCACGTGACTGGAGTCTGTGTAGGTGGTAACAGCCTATCTGTAAATGCTTGTCTGTACAATTCTGAGTCCCAATTATACCCGGCGACCACGCATGCATAGCTTAGAACAGGCGAGCCAATTGTCTTGTATGTTGGCAGCAACGTTTCTATGTGTTTGCCCCAAGTACTGCCGAATTCGGGGACTTTGATGCGGCTCTGTACTTTGTTGGTAATTGCAGTTGTGTGTGCCGAGAAAGAGAGCTGGCTCCGTGGATTTTTCCGGTTGTTCACTGTCGAAATTGGTTTGCCGTTAACGTGAATACCCCCAGCTGTGGCCAGACCCCGTTTTTATCCTGGTGATAAAAATGGTTGGCGAGGATTTCGTAGGGCAGAGGGTTAGGCTCCTTGCAGTGAAGAAGCAAGAGAGTTTGGAGTGGTAACTCCAATGCCAGATGCATTGTGTTTGTTTTTTTTTCTCTTTTGTGTCTTGTCGGGATTTAAAGTTGTCAGGATTTTGTCTTGTCTGAACACTGTGTTATCTGTATTTTATTTGCTCGGGATTTTGTTATGTCTGTATTATGTCCTGTCTGGATTTTTTATTATCCAGATTTTTAAAAATTGTCTTCATTATGTCTTGTCGGAATATTTAAGTCGGCATTGCGGAGTGCTCCCTTGTACAAGATTATTGCAGGACCACGGGAACGGAGTATTTAGGGTTGCATATTGACTTTGATGGGGTTGGTCTTTAAAAATACAGACCTCCATAAAGCAAAACTCATCTCGGATTGTTTCCTCCAAATCAAAATACCTATTTATTTTGTACTCAAAGTCAAGTTGGAGTAGGTATTTTGAAGAGAGAGTTAAGCCCATCAGCTTGTTGCACTGCGCTGTAGCGTTTAAAAATAACTTACTCGTAAATTCGGTGATCCAACATATGGAAACAAACCTTCTTGAAACATGCGGAAAGAAATATATAAAACGGTTAAATGAAATCAATGTTGGAATAGAAAAATGGGGATCAATAAGCTGTCGATCTGCGAATCAACCAGTCGGTTCCTGACGAAAGAGCTAGTCTCTGCAACGTCGATAATCACACGGTTTGAAATCAATAGGATCCGAGAGAGAATCGTGAAGAAACGTCCGAGGCCTTCGTTGGTAACTTTGAGCCATCTCAAAGTGATTTTCTGCTGAATTTCTCGACATTGTACCATTGCACCAATCATCCAAAATCGATATACAAACAATTGAAATCAAAAGAAGCGGCCGTGATGAAGACCATTTACCATTTCCTCTCTGGATGCAAAATAAAAAATTAAAAAATGCGATGTTTAATGCAAATATTTTTTTATTTTAATCTATCTCACATACTGCAAAGCCGAGGTAATTACGCACATTTTGATACCTTAACTGATTTTCTTCGACAAATAGTTTATTAACTGCAAACAATTAAAAAAAGATACTTCTCCGTGAGTTCAAAATTTCGGGAATTATTTTTTCGAGATTTTCGAATATCATGACGAAATAAAAAAATTGGTGTCTTCTTTTTTCGATAAAGAATGTAAAAAAAATATATTTCACCCCAAAAAAAATATTGAGGTGTAAATATTATATGGAATGACCCATATACAAAGTGGTATTATGGTCCCTCTCGCCTTGGTACTGCGGAAATTCAAGAATGAGTCGGAGTGAATTGCGGAAGTTATTACCAGATCACCAAAGTTGAAATTGGCGACGAAAGCAATTGGGAATTTGGTATTGTTCTGTTGTCTTCTCGTAGAAACTATCCTTGAGAGAGGCCTATTTCACATATTCCTTCAGCATTTTCTAGGCATACATTCATAGGAATATGCAACTGACCATACCAGGTGGAGAAGGACTTGGCTTCACTTGGCATTTCCAAAAGAAGGCACAAAAGAGAAACATTACAGTACCAACCATAGGAAGAAATCGTATTGATCCTTCTTTGAACTCTTGCCGCTTAAAATTTTACAATTATTAAAGCCTTGACTTGTCCGTTATCGGAGGTCTGGATGCGTCTATTCTTTTTTAATTGCACGAATATGCCACGTTTAAAAAAATTTTGCCGGCAGCTTGTATTTTTTCAAAGCCTACTAGTTTATAATTTCTATTTATGAATTTCCTCGCCTTTGCAGGACATTATGAATCGCGAGAAGGAGGATGAATTGCCGATGATGCAAGTTAATTTCATTGAGTCAATATGCTTGCCAATTTACGAGGTGAGTTTTCATAGCTTAAAATACTTTTGAGTAGTACAACATTTGCGTTTGCTTGTGTCTTTTTTCAGGCTTTTGCAAACCTCTCCGACAAACTGGAGCCACTGGTCGAAGGTGTGCGCGATAACCGCGAGCATTGGATCGAATTGGCACAACAAGTACAAAATAAAGAGAAAGCAGCAATTAGCAGCACCAATGGTGCCGTCGACACCACAAAGCAGAATGGCTGCATTTCCGATGGACGCAGCGATGTGACTGATGACTTAGGTACGACGACAACCATTGTCAATTGTGACAGCAACGCCGATGATGGCATATCAACAGGCGCTGAGTGCGAGACAGATGAACAAATCGATGGTAAAAATACAAAAAACAACAGCAACGACGACGATGATAACGACGAAGAAGATGAGCACTTGTGTGCAGAGGAAGAAGAGGCAGGTATTGAAGCGGATGATGATGATTCGGATATGGAGGCGTCACATCACTCCAACGGCTGCTTCTCATCTGGTTCGAGTCGATTGAGCACGCCACCACCCACAGGCGAAGACGACAGCGTACCCACCTCACCGGCTAAAATGACGCAGGCCAAGTTAATTGCCGCAAATTTGAATAGTTTGAATCAACGGACACTAAAGTCAACGAGCAACTGCTGTCGCAGCTGTGAGTATGCGCGCTGCAGTAGTAATATGCGCAAGGCCTCCTCGCTCAAGGGTACCAAAGAATTGCAACAACAACTGAGCGCACAAGCACAAAATGGAGGCGGCAGTTCTGGCTATCACAGTCGTAGTACACCCTCAATGAATATGACGACGACAACGACAACGACGGCGAATACATCAAATGGCGCGCAACAAAATCACAGCAGCAATACACATCATCATCATCATCATCACCACCACCACCACCGTCGTCATAGTCACCACCACTACCATCACCATCATCACCTCCACAGTAATCAGCATTCGACGCATAGTGGCAATGGTGGCGGCGGCGGCGGCGTTGGTGGTGGCGGCACGGGTACCGGCAACACATCGAGCGGCGCCGAAAGTGATAGAATACCAAAAATAGTCGGTAAGCTGGGTAATATCGATAGTCTGCAATATCTCGCAGATGGTGGCAATGGCGCTGCCGAGGCGCTACTCCATGCCAATGCTGGTAGTGGTACACCAAATGGCATTGCATTCACACCAAATGGTCATGTCACCTATTTTGCTGCCAGTGATGTGCCCGCGTTGACAACAGCGGCGAGTGTTGTGGCACCGGTGGTAGCGGCGGCAGTGACACCTACAATGGCAGCGACGGCGGCGACAAGCGCATGTGATAAATGAAGAGTTTGAGGAGTACTCTAAGCGAAAGTTTTAGAAGATTTGAGTTCTTTTAATATAAAAGCTAGCCTAACTACAAGTAGTATGTATGTATTATTAGCTGTAATTGAGATACGGACGTTTACATAGATACTTTCGTTGGTTGCTGACGGTCAATGGGTGCATTGCTCTCTGATCGACGACACAAATATAAAATCCTTTTGTATTAGTGAAGTACGTACATACATATGTATGTATATTGTGAGTCAAGTAGGGGCTAAGTACTGGCTGGTGATTTTAACGTATAAAACTAGTACGTAAAACGCTTAAACGACTTTAATTGCATCGTCTGAATTAGGATGAAGAAGCTTTGAAAAATATTGCCGGTACTTTGATTTCAATTAAAAACTTATTAAGATCCTAAATTGTAGCAGAAATCTAGTTACTGTGCATTGTTTTTTTTGGAAAAAACCAAATACATGTTTGATTTTTTAACGCATTTTTTTTAAGTTGTAAATGAAAAATTAAAGACTGTTTTCCCACTTTCTGTACCTATAAATGCAAGAAGGAAATTATAACCTATTCTGAATAGCACTGTCATTAGTCAGCCCATAATTAATTTTTTGAATCTATAGACGTTTCTTCTATTAAAATTATTTTAGCCTAAGGGCCGTTTTCTCGACTACCTGCTTTTACCTGCATTATCGACTTTTTATCGATTTTCTGTTATAAGCATGTGAGCGACAAATTTGACAGGTAATCAAAGCACCGCTCAGCTTTAACAGGCTGTCTAGAAAACGGCCCTTAACAGGTTTAACATTTTATAATTTTTTAAATTTAATTCATGCAGCGTATCAGTTAATGAAGTATTCAATATTCGTTCTGATTTTCTTAAGAAATAGGGGGAAAAGGTTATTATAAGCTGTTCAGAATAGGGCCGTCATTAGTCAAGGCTTCCAAAAACCGAGTTCATGTTGCGTGTTTTTCAACTAAGAAATATTTTCTATAGATATCTACGAACTAAAAAATTTTTGGATTAAAAAGTCGAAACAGAAAGTCACACGCAATTATTTCATCCCTCTGATTTTGAAGTTCTTAAGTATCAACTCAATATATGATTTTAAAGAATAATTTAGCATTAAAATTTGTATTTATTATTTTATTTTTTGTTTTTTTTTTTCAAAATATGAATAAAAATAGCTAAATGATAATTTAGCACTTTTAAAAAGCATAAAAAATACAAAATTACAACAAAAATAAACCGCCAAAAATTACGAATTTTTTTTTTTGAGTAGAGGAGCTCTCTTCAAATATTTTTCCTCGTTATACTCAAAGCGTTAATGTCAGATTTACTGCTTTTTGTACCACAACCGTTATGAGCAAATTAGTGACTGAAAAGTATCGAATTTTTCTAAATTTCTATTGATAGTCATAAAAAGAGAAAAATTTTTCGTTTCTTTTTTGCAACCCACTGTGAGTATTACTCTCTATATATAAGCGCTTAGTCGCTAACAGAGCCAAATTTAAGTCAATTTATGCTAAAAACGAACTGCGCATGCGCATCCATTTTTTTTTTATAAATTATGCCACACTGCTCTATAAACTATATTTTCTTTCTAATACTAAGCAGACGATGCAATTTTAAAAGCCACCTGCCCACTAAGAGCAACAAAAAGGAAGTCAGATTAAGGAAAGTTGTATAAGAATTATTATATATAAAACTAAAACAAAGTTCAGGTGAATAAAATCAAAACTGAGTAAATAAATATGTAAGCTTTGTTTAGCAATTTTACTTATATGAATATGTAGTTGTGCGTTTTTGTATGTGTTGTATATATAAATAAAATTTGTTCGCTAGTGATATATTTATGAACATAAATATGTGCGTGTAAATTTAGTTAATGTGAGTTTTTAAGAATATTTCTGTTTTAATTTCCAAATGTCTGTGTATTTTTGTATATTAAATGTATAGTGTTTAGATTAAAATTTTTTACTGTGTATAAGAAATATGTATGCGTATTAGTTCAATTTCTTGCATAGTTTTAGTGAGTTAGGTGAGTTTTGTGTACCAAAAATTATGTGTAAATAAATTCAAATATATGTGCGTACATATGTATGTATATAAGGCATACAAATTAAGAACGCATCATATAGAAGATACAGAGTTAATTGAACTACAAACTAAAAAAAATGTAAACTATAAGAAAAGCAGAGTAAGAGGTAAATAATGCTAAAGTTGTATGTAATTTCGAAATAACAAAGAAAAAAAGTTTGAAGAAAAAATTCATTTTTATGAAATTAAACACAACTCAAATTTAAATAATTAAAATATGTAAAAAAATTAAAATCTAAAAAATTTAAAATTTAATACTAAAAGGTTTAAAATATAATAAAACACAACTCAAATTAAAAATATTTTAAATTAAAAACTTTGAAAAAATCTCAATTTTAAAAACGTAAATATGTAAATATCAGATTTGCAAACCTTCTTTATTTAATGTTGTAAAATTTTTTTAGATGTATTCAATCTCAAACAATTTGCAAAAATCTGGAGAGTACTGAAAATCTTACTAAGCACTCAAAATTTGTTTCGAAAATTTTTCATTCGGGCCTTAACGCAAATTCCATGCCAAAAATTACAAAGCAAAACAAAGAATTATAGAGCAAAACAAAGAATTATAGAGCAAAACAAAGCAATTGTAAGCCAGAAATAAAATAATTTGTTTAAATTTTCAATTTGTTTTTATTTTGAATGTTAAATAATGGAATTGGCGACAAGGCTGAGTATGTTTCTAGCTTTCCAGTTTATAGTTGAAAGGAAATATTTTTATTTTTCAGTCTATAACTTGAAAAAAAAAATTAAGAGAAAATTACAAAAATAATCTAGTGATTTAATTTTTAAGCGTTTACGGTATGGCATAGCATTTGCACATATTCCCACCCACACACACGCTCACATACACACAAAAATTGTAAATAATACGTTTAATTAGTCGTCACATAGATATCATTTACCTGTGCATTTGAAATCCTATATTTTCACAATTTCGAATTTAATTAATTTTATAACCCGTAGTAAGAGTTACGAATTACGAGTAAAATAAAAAGTAGTTAAAATTTTAAATAAAATGTGTAGTTTTTAGTTTCAAATGGTGGGCAAAGAAATCGCAGCTACATAGAAGAATGTGCTTTCAATACACTAACTGCTAAATTCTATAAAAAAAAAATTTGTACAACAGCTGCTAATAAATAGGCTTGAACGTGTTGAGTTGCTACAGTATGAATTGATTAATGCAGAGTATTTAGTTGCATTGTATAACATAAGGAAAGTGAAAATAAAAAAATGTTTAAAAACGAATTGCTAGTTGAAAAATACAAAAAATAAAGCATAAACTACAATTAGAAAATGTATCTATAATAAAAGCAAATAAAAAGAAGTTTTATTGCAAATATATTTATGTAAGTAGTTGTGAATACAGTGACCGACAAAATGATGTTGATAAATTTTGACTAATTATTATATTTTTTTTAAATTATATTTTTTGTTTTATAAAAATATAGTTCATTCTATAACCAAACCATATAAATCCAAATTTCAAATTTTATACTTCGAGCGTGTGTGAAGAGGTAACAAAGTTTGCGGCGGGTAAATTTTTGACAAGTATGAGGTGAATAAAATATCACAAGGGGCGTGTGAGAATCGGTAACAAAGTTATGTGGGGAAAGTTGTTGAATAATATTTTTACTATGGTGAGACAGTTTTGCCAATCTGCTGTGTGAAATTAAATATTTTTTTACAGAAGTAAATTTTTGATATCCGCAGATTTATGCGGAATAAAATATTACAAATTGAAGTGAAATTAATATTTTAAGAAAACACCTACCATCGTTGATTGCAATTCATCAATTTAAGCTTTTAGTTAAGGAAAAATTACGCACATAAACAATCTTTGCGATTGTCAAAGTTTTCTATGTATTTTTCAAAAATTTCACTAGCCTCATGAGCTACTGAAATTTTATTCACATCATAGTTGTCAAAAATTTACTCGCCGCGAATTTTGTTACTGATTCACACACGCTCTAGCTCGTGAGGCTAGTGAAATTTTTGTTACCGATTCACATACCGATTCTTTGCAAAAATTTAAAAAATAATAATTACGAAGTTTTATAAAAAATTTACACTTTTTATTCAAAAATTTAAAAATTCGAATTTTTGGGGTATGTAGTTCCCTATCCCATTCGATTGTATGTAGAACGATAAGGTGTGTGTTTGAATTCGATAGAAAAACCATTGACTTTTGGGAATTTCTTTTTTTTTATGTTTTGAGAATGTACAATAGCGTTAGCCACCTCAAACCTGCACTTTATTAAGCATGCCCAAAAATTTTGAATAAATGGTGTGAAATTTTGTTGAAGCTTTTAATTTTTTTTTACAAAGTTTGAGGCGTGCATCATATAGTTTTTGTTATAGAATGAACTTTATAAAAGTAATAATAGTTGAAATAAATTGAAAAAAATAATAAAATCCAAACATATGATAAAGGGTGACCTTGTCATTATGTCGCACACTATATTCTAGCAGTCTCTGTTTTGATTATTTATTTACGCAAATAAAACGAAGGAGGAGGATAAATAAAACTAATAAACAGTTTTTAGTGTCATACAAAAAAAAAATATTTAAAAAAAAATGGCATGAAATAAATAATCACCTAAATTCATAATAAATAAAAAAAAGACTTAAATGATTTATAAATGCAAAATTTGTATGAAAATGTCACTTTTAAAGCTCTTTAATCCTACTTTTTTTATTTATGAAAAAGGTCAAATGCCTTCTGCAGAGATATAGCTAAAAACTATAAAATGATTTTCTATTTCATCAGTATTTGGATATGATAGTAAATTTCTCCAAAATCCATTGCGTCAATTCAAATAAACAAATGTACACCTTTGTATTCACAAATATGTACGTGCATATGTCGGATTTCTATGAAACTCACAGATCCACTTCTGTATCTCTGCTTTGATCTAAATACATAAGAAATAGTTAAGCACATGATTTCTCACTACTAAAATCATACTTATAAAAAGAAACTATGAAACCTTATGAAACATTTATGCATCTTTAATATGTACATATTTATGTAGGTTTGTCTTTAGATTTTCTTGTGTAGTTTGAGTGCGCTAAATATGCGAAAAATTATGTCATAGCAATTATCTAAGTTTAAATAAAATAATTTATATGAAAAGCAGATTGAAAAAAAACAAAACAACAAAGAAACGAAATAAAAAAGTTTAATTCAAAAATTAAAACTTTAATTAAAGTAGTTTGATTTAAAATATTTATATCTTCTTATATTTCCTATATGGCTCTACAACAGTTCGTCTGGGCCGAGACGCCAAAACACTGGACTCTTTTCCTAACTCATTTTCGAAGCTAAGATATATAAGATTTAAGGGGAGGCCCAGGAAGTGTGCGACTTCAACAGGGTCTGTCCATTAGGACAGGGACGTCAGCTGGGTGGGATTGTCAGGCATGTGAAGAGGTGCCGAGAGTCATGTGGCGACTCTACATATGACGGGCATTGGTTGGGCACATCCTCATTAATTCTGCTCAGGTATGAGTTTTGCCTGCTGCAATAGCCAGAGCGAAGTTGGCTTTTGTGGTGCGGGTCTCCCGAGTCAGACTAAGTTCTGTCCCGTCCACGTTAGGTGGTTGTGTGCCTAGCACGGCATTCACAGAGCGGGAGTCTACATAACTCGGGACTGATTCCCTGTGAATGCCGTACAGGGCCTGTCGGTAGGCTGACGGGTCCAGAGGTTGTTTAATGAACCTCTGGACTTCGTCCGTCAGTTCGTAGAGATGCCTCCTGACGTGCCTTGGCGAGGGCTCTTCTGCAAGCAGCTGTTTGCTGGAATGACCACGTCTGTGGCTCCCCCACAAGGAACTGTTTGCAGAGCATTGTTTCATGCTCCTTGACTGGGAGCATCTGGGCCTCGTCGTGTAGGTGGTGTTGGGGCGTCATCAGGAGGCATCCGGTCGCTGTCCGTAGTGCCGTATTCTGGCAAGTCTGTAGCTTCATCCACGGCGTCCTGCTAGTCCCAGGCGACCACACGGGCGCTGCATAGTTTAGAACCGGCCGGCCAATTGCCTTGTATGTTGCCAACAACGTTCATCTTCTCCTCTGGTTTCAGTGTCCTTTAGCAGATTGCAGTTCATTCGATAATTAAATAATGTTTTGGACATTGGTAATTAGGTCGCCGTGCTTGTCTTTACTGGTTTTGAATCCCTCCGTAAACCGCTTAATTCAATGCTAAAATTTTCACGGGTTTTTCCTATTGGCCAGCATCATAAGCTCTTCACACCCACGTATTTTTGCTTATCTTTATTTATGACGGAAAATACGCCTCGCTTCACTCTTTAGCGAACCCGATAGCACCCTGGTCTTACAGATGGCATATTTGTCTCTAAAGTGGGTTAAGATGCGTCGGGGTGAGTTGAGGTGAGTTGTGTTGAGTTGAGATAAGGTGAGGTGAATTAAGTTTAAGATGACACACTTTAATCTCCATTTTTGTCTTTTCCTATGGCTCCTTATCTTCATCTCCACCTATAGTTAACTTTTTTTATCCTTATATTTACTTGTTTCTTCACCCTTATATTTAGATTTGTCTTTATCTATTTTTTTTCTTGGTCTTCATCGATACAGATTTAATGACGTGGTGTTAAATATTTAACGAAAGCATCTGCCGACTCCATTATTTGAATATAACTTTCTGACATGTGGCAACCCTTTGTGATGTTAAATATTTAACGCAAACATCTCCGAACTAGATTAAGAAGTTTCACTTCAAAAATGTCCGCTCAAGGGAAGAGCCCGCATAGTAGAGGCGTCCGTTAGGAGAGGTTACCTACTCGGCGACGGCGGTCAAAAGCTTTGTTGCTTTTAAGTTCATATTCTGAGTTCTCATTCATGAGTTCTCGTCATGTGGAAATCGTAGAGCTTTTTATTTTATAAATATTTACACAGAATGTGATGGGAGCTTTTACTTGATAAAAACCTTTATAAAATTTCTCTACAAATAATTTATCAAGAAAATACAGAATTGGGCGGTTAGTTCTGTCTGCGCAAGTATATTTCTCCAGTACTAAATTTACTTTTAAAGGGCAGATAAATTTTGAAATCTACGCGTCAAAGCGCTTAGTGGAGCAAAAAAAGATTGAAGCTTTTTGTCACTGACATAAAATACTGTGCTTTGAGATTGCTTATGCCGTAAGAGAATCACATTATGCGTTAAAGCATTTGCTTGCACGTTATGTAGCCCAGTTGCGTTACAACACCAATTCAAAACTATCGGAACCAGAATGTTTTTATTAAACAAAAAATTACAAATGATCGTAATCTAAGTAATTTATTCAATATTTCGTTTTCGGTTGTATGTATAAACATGAAATTAATAATAAAGGAAGTATAATAAAGTCGTTCGATAAATTAAACATTAAAATAAATATTGCAAGAATAAAAAGTGTGAATAAGAACAAAATTTTTACAAATGTTATAGAATTGTACTTAAACAAAATAGTAAAAATTTTATTGAAGAATATAAAAATTAATAGGAAAATTAAATTGAAAAAAGGAAATGCAATTTAAGTCAAGGAGTTGCAGTCCCAAATAAGAATTCTACAACTAAGTACAAGTATTTTATTAAAATAAATTTAGCTAAAAGTACTGCATATACAGTATTAGATAAAAGGATAGCAGGCAGTTTGGGTAATTAAAAAAAAATAATAATTCGCGAAAAGTTCTGTGGAAGGCTTAAAAGGAGAGGCTCATTTTATTGCTCCCTTAAGAGCGAGAATATTTATTAAAAATAAACTGAAAGTTTAGTAAGTACTAATACATATTAGCGGATTATTCACATACACTTATGTATTATTCGTTTACATGCTAGAAGTGCATAAGTCTTTGAGGTTTTTTTTATTTCCACTCTCTTTTACTGTATTATTTTATTACTGCGTATTCCTTTTATGTTTCTTTTTTTTATTTGCTTTTCATTTGTTTAACCACTTATCACTGGACTCTCTCTATTAGTGAGAGCCCAAAAGTAGTCGCTTGTATAGAAAAAGTACTTATGTCCATAAGTAAATAAAAGTAAAAAATTAAGCCACGAAACTGCGTTGGTGTGCCAGGACCAGCATTCCTTGGCATACTTAAGTGGCATGCAAAATATTTCGGTTGCGTGCTTTTTTACAGCTAAGTAAATTTAACAAAGTCTAGGCTGCTGATAGCACACAGAGGCATCACTGCAAAATTTCTGTGTTTTTTTACTTTATTTTATCTTAACTTAATACACTAAATAGCGTCTATCAAAAAGTGTTTGACTTTCTGACATTTTCTGCTACTTCCTCTATATAGTATGTATGTATGTATGTATATGTAGGTTTCCTTGCTGATATCATCTTCTGCCGCGCATCTACAAAGACGCTATGAACGGTGTCAAATCGGGGAATTTGAAAATATTTTGTGGTCGTGAACGTTGCACACGCACCGGTGCTTGTACTGAGGCTTGACGCGCCTGCGCAAAGTTGCCGCCATTGCCGTTGCCATTCAAATAGATGCCACACTGTGAGTTGCATACTTCATCACGTAGAATGGCGTCTTTGGGCCATTGACGAATCAGTTGGCCGCAATCGGTAATGCGTAGCGAGGCGCATTGTGGCTGTGAGGATGAAAGAGGGTGATTTATTAATTTTTCTTATTTGTATTACATACATTGGCTGAAATTAAAATTTGTTGGTTAATTTTTCAACTTACGCCTTCGGCTGAGCACACACAGCTGGTACAGGGTGATGGGAATGCGGATTCACCAACGCGCACATGTCTATTGCCTATCTGACAGCCTTGCACATTTTCACGCCACAGACTTAGATCGATTTGCGGCATGGAAGAGCAGGGCACACGTGGATTGCTGGAATGAGAGAAGGAGAAGAAAAAGACAGAAGTTGTAAAATTAAAATAAATTCTTAACAGAAGAAATTTTTAATGAAAAAGGTGGTGTTTATCGTTTACCTTTTTTACTCCTAATATACATATTAGGGTGTGACAAATTTTTTTTTTCCGGCTACCCCTCAGAATTGCAAAATACGAAAATACATTTTTTTTAATCGGTTAATACTTTACCATAATATTTCTACGAAAACTTGTTTTTTTCACATATAAAATACATGGAAAGCTTTGAGCGCTTTGAGCGACCTGTAAATATTTTTTGATTCCAATATAAAAAAAAAAAAACAGTGGTATAGTTTTTTTCAATATAGAACAATCCTTTATGGTGAGAGCATTAAAATTCTGACTTTACTTTAGCGTATGCATTTTCGGACCACCCTATTGTACACCCATCAATTCTGTACGCTTGTAAATTCTCCAGTAGCGATAGACTATCAACAAGAACGTGAGTGCCAAGGCGCTTATGCTCTGACTGTTTGCCGGATGACAGGATATAAGTACTTAGTTTTGTCCTCGTTCACCACCAAACCCATTCGCTTTGCTTCTCTATATAGTTCCGAAAGGTCCTAAGGCTGAATTAAAAAGAATAACCCAAGAACAAGATACAGCCTCGCAAAAGCTGGGAACCTTAAGATAAAGTGTTGACATGTTTACACCTTATCGTTAACTAAGCCTTATGAGGATCTGGTATGATATTTAGTCCTAATGCGTAGTTTTTACTTAGCTTTTGCTAATCAGACGCAAGGACCACCTACTCAAATGCAACCTGCATTAATCCAAAAATGCTCCCACCATCCCTTTTACCGGTGAGACCAATTCATCCGCTCCATCTAAGTTGGACTAGGAAGTAGTCAGAAGCAATTGAAAGAGAAGTCAGAAATTCCTCCCCATGCTTTGAGCGCACCGTGAATGAGGCCTAAGCTCTGTTTTCCACTTGACTATCAAAGCAGTTGCTAAGCTTCCTTGTCGACGCCACGCAATTGGTTAGCCAATCGATTACTTCCGCAGCTACCTCTGCCTGGAAGAAAAGTTACAGTGACCAGGTAGCTTAATTTTGAGATAGATGGAAAACTTCCTCAAAAACATTTCTCCACCAATCCTTGCGTCAAGCTTAAACTCATTAGTATTGGAGTTCTCCGGTGCCTTCTTGCAACTACTGCTTTTCGTTCACTTATCTCTAGTAGGAAGAGGAGTGCCTAAAATGCTCTTACACTCTCTAATCGGGATTTCCTGTATTCTAGGCACTACTTTGGGATTTTCAAGACTATTTCCGGATTTTCGGACCTTTCGAGATTCTCGGAACCATTTCATGATTTCCGGTATTCTTGGAACTATATCATAATTTTTGGGACTACTTCGAGATTTTCGGGAGAATTTCAGATTTTTGAGATTCTCGGAACTACTTCGGGATTTTCGAGGCCTCTTCGGAAGTCTCGGAATTTTATCTCAGGGTTTTTAAGACTATTTCGAAATTTCGGGACTATTTCGGTATTCTCAAAATTATTTAGGGATTTTCTGAACTATATCGTGGTTTTCGGGACTATCTCGGGATTTTCAAGACTATTTCGGAATTTTCGGACCTATCTCGGGATTTTCGGTATTCACGTCACTATTCCTTGATTTTTAGGACTACTTCGACATTTTCTGGATTTTTGGGATTCTCGAAATTATTTCGTGATGTTTGGGATATTTCGGGATTTTCTTTTCTTTTAAATGAGTATCTGGACATCGACTGCTTTTTAACTTGAGATCATTCAGATAGGTCAGATTTGTTTTACGTGAAGAGGACAATGAGTTAGAATAATTAATTTCAGCTTCGGCACCTACCACGTTAACCCGAACTTAGTATCGATTTAGACATCTCTGTATAACATAAATTTAAGAAAATTGTACGTTGGTTTACTCACAGGAAGTTACTGGGCAGATCGAGAGCAGCACGTTGCATATCGCCAGGAATCTCCAAGTTTTCGCAAATGAATTTCGCCAATGTCACCTTACGAATTTCAGCAAGTTGTGCCTCGGTGAAACGTACTTCAGAATTAGCGTTTTCATACCTGAAAGAATAGAAAGACATTTTCTTAATCTTGATTTCCAATGAAGCATCTATCTGAACTCACCAGAAACGATCACACTTGCGCAGTTGGCGGAATTGTATGCCAATAATGCAAGCCAATGTAGGACCAACCAAACCACCTTGCAACGGACGTTCGGTCATAGCGCCAGGGAAGAGATCAATATCATCGACGGAAGCATAGATTTTCTTGAAACGATTAATAACTTCATTTGGCATTTCGCGGCTAAGATCGCTCCAGGTAGCGGCACGTTTCAGATTGCAAAGAGCGCGATAGTTGTTGTAGCTGGGAATGCCATGATCACGTGCTGAATATATTCGAAATATATATATTTATTTAGTGTGGAAATGATTTGTGTTATTTGAACATTTACCTCTCTGAATATTGAGCGCGATAAGATCAATGCCGGAGAAGGGAATCTTGCGGTCTTCGAACAAGTGATTAGTAACTTCGCCGGTAATGAACTGATCCAAAGTTTCCATGGGAGTGGCGACTAGACCACGCGAAATTTCGTCAATGATGCCGGGCTGTCGAGGAAAAAAACGTGTGTTATTAATGCACTTGCATCCCGACAATCCTTTTTTTGCGATCGAGCTCACCTGCAGGATAGCATCCATGCGGAAGAAACCATCGCGCAACAGCAGTGGTGGGTCGACAGGTTGGTGGTTCACACTCAAGCGTGGTATGTGTGGACGCAGCAGTGAATGGCCAATACGGAAGGCGGCAGCAGCGAATTCATTGAAAATAATCGGACTGCATGAGGGATTGTAGTCCTTGTAGTAGCCTTGAGGCAGTAATTTCAAGCCATACAAATTCACAGCGTTCCAACTGAGCACGCGGGGCAAGAATTCATTGAACACCATATGCTGCCACTCGGCGGTGAGTATGCGACGCGCGTGGAAGAACAATTGATCGCTATTCCAGTGTGGATTCACGCCACGTAGTCCTTCGACAATGCGGTTGTGTTCACGCATGAATATGGTATGGAGAGCAGTGAGACCTGGCTGTTCGGAAGCGCGTTCATCACCAGCAATATAACAGAGACCATTGCGCGATTTGCACTCGGGATGCGAATTGGATTGGGGCAGCAATTCCTTGCCAAACGAACGGATGGTGGAGTTCAAGCGACCGCCGAAACCACGCAGCTTATTAACCACACAATGGTTCTCACCATAGACCATAGAGGCATCCAAGAAGTGCGTATTCTGATTGACCTGCTCACGTGGACCCAAAGCCAATTGACCGGGCAGCGATCTCATCGACGGGAAGCAGAAACGTTCACCGCTCGTCACATTCACTTCGGGGAAGAAGTAATCGCCCGGTGGCACCGGGAATGGATTGCACTCAGGATGCACAGTTTGTGGTGAATTGCAAGGACGACAGCTGGGTATGGATTCATGGAAACCCTTATGGATGGGAGTCATTGTAAGATCGTGATCGAGGATTTGAGCAAACTGCATGACCATGAGGGAGTAGCGCGTGTGCAAGTTGGAGATATCCGGATGAATGACAGTCGAGATGGCGCGTGGATTCGGCAGCAGGCTACCGGTGACCGAGAGTAGACGTACCTTGGAGATGCCATCGTCATATTGGGAGGGCAGCAGACGCGAGAATGTGGTCAACGACTTGCCCCAGTTCGGGTTGCGTAAATTATTACAGTAACCGGTGACGCTGCGGAAGGGTGAAGAGGTATCGCACGAAATTGGTGGATCATCGCAATCGCTGCTGACTTGCTGGGTGGTGCCGCCAAGTATAGCATTAATGTCGATTGTTTGTAGAGTTTCTGAAAGTTCATTGCGATTGAAGTTGCTGTCAAAAGTTTGACGTTTGCGACGATTAATGGAGTTGAGTGTATTCAAAATTTCATTCGAAGTCAATTCGAACATGAGCGAAGAGTTAGCGAGCGCGAGCGCATTGCGGTTAGCCTTGCTGAAGGAGGCGGCCACACCATCGGGTGACCTGGCGCTGATGCCGCCATCTGTGAAGAGAGGAGGTGGGGGTATTGTGAGAATATAGTTATCTCAGTTAAAAAGCCGGAAACTTACTCGCTAGCCAGGACTCATATTCGAAACGTTTGCGTTCCTCTAGTTCTACCTTTGCGCGTTCTACGGCAGCTTCCAAAAGTTCAATATTGATTTCGCTGATTGCCTCTTTCACTTCAGGCTCCATTTCGACGTGTTCATGCATCTCATCTACTTCGGTACTTGATCGCCATGGACGCAGATCTAATGTGGCGATTTGGTCGCAGTCGAGTACGGAGTTTCTAAATGTGTTAGAGAAAATTTTGGTGCAAGTTAATATAAAGGCCACCTCGGAAACTCTGTAAAGGACTCACAAGAAGTTATCTTCGCGTATGAAAGCCTTCGATTGTACCTTCTCCACCTGATTTGAGGTGCAGAGTAGGCCAGCAAGCGTAGTTTGTCTGATGCTTTTCAGCTGTTCCAAAGTAAATGATGAAGGAGGAATATCGTTTTCATACCAGAAACGATCAGACTTCTTCAACAGCTCGAATTGACGTGTAAGCAGACAGGTAATGGTGGGACCGAAGAGCGCGCCAACGGCGGGGTCCTCGAGCAGAGCGCCCACCAACAAATCCACATCATCGGCGCTTCTAAAAATGCGAGTGAAAAAAGGGATGAGAAAAAAGTTTCCATTTGTGAGTTTACGGCACTTACTGGTAGATGTCTCGCAAACTGGTGATGTGCTCCTCTGGAATATTCGAAATTTTAGCCAACGTTTCGAAGGTAATATTCGCCGAGTCCGATTCTGAGTATTGTTCCTGGCACAAATCCAAAGCATGGCGGTAGGAAGGAATGCCATGATCACGACCACGGTGTATGGCTAAAGCGACTTCGGTCCAACCGTCCTCATTCTTGATCGCGGGGATAAGAGACTTCTGCAGCGCAGCCACTGAAAGCAACTGAGTGGCGGACATGGAATGCGAGATCTACAGAGAAATTTATGAAGAAGTTAGTTCGTAAGGAGGAGGTAAGAACAGTCGGGCAACTAACCATCTCTGGTGGATACATGGTGAGGAAAGCGGGGAAGGCGCTATTTGCGACTTCATTATAAACGCCCGCATGATTGGTGCTCGAGTAGTTCGATGAGTGCTTTTCGGCAGTGAGTCTGCGAAGAGAAGAGATGCATGTAAGTTAAAAACTAACTTCAACTAATAAGTTATAAACTTACTTCAAGCCATCTTTGGCAGTTGTCTCCTGACCCAAAACCAACGGCAAGAATTCACTGTAGGTAATATGCTGAATTTGTGCAGTCACAATGCGTCGCGCCTCTAAGAAGACATCCTCTTCCGACCAATCGGCGTTTAAATGTGCCAACTGCTCGCCAATATTGTTGTGTTCCTGCAGCAGAGCACGATGCAGTGCCCCAGTAGCGCTGGTCAGCTGACAATATTTGCATGAACCAACTTTGACGCCACCACTAATGTAGGTGCGCAAGTCCTGCATATCCCTGGCGGTAGCGCCATACAGACCAGAACCATCGATATACGAGGAGGCTACATTCATTTGCTCGCGTTGACCTGAAAGCACAGAGGTATGTACAAAATTTAGTACCAACTTCTTCTCTGTAGGCAAAAAAAAAACAAGTTCAACAACTTACGCTTTCCGCACGCTTCCGCATCATAGCCAGGCGCTGAGCGCTTGTACTCCTTGCAATCGACGCCACGTCGCACATAGCATTGCTCTAGCTCTTCCGGATTCTTAGCGTTGGCATTTTCATTGCAACACTTTGCGCTTGTCGACACCTGACTCACTTCGTACAAGTCATTGGCGAGGAATTGTCCCCATGCGGGCAGCATAGCAGTGATGTGCTGATGCCGCAGTTCGGCGTCGACATGATTTTGCAGCTGATCGATAATGCTGCTCGCATCGGGTAGCGCGTGAGTGCCATGCGATGTGCGCGGTTGGCTGATGCCATCAGCATAGTCGGGCGTGATGAGACGCAGCAGTACGTCACCGCGTGCACCCCATTTACGATGCGAGACGTTATTACATTCGCCGGTCGGTTGGCGATACTTGCTCGGTGGGCAGATTTCGGTATCTGTTTGATTGCAAGGTTGCAATGAGCGTGCACGCTCGAGACGAAGTGCGGTCTGAGCATTGGCTTGCAGGTCATCTGGGGTGCGTAGTGCGTGTGCCACAGCAAGGAGGCAGCTGAAAGGAGAAAAAGGAAGACGAAGGAAATTAATATCGTATGATTTTATGTATTTTACAGTTTATTTTTTTGAATATTTCAAACAAATTATAGGCATAAAATCTAGGCTTCAAGCTTTAACCTACGAGTATCCCGTTTTTTCATGTGAAACCCTTGTGAAAAACCTTCTGCAAAAATGTATAACCTTAAAATTTCTATGTAAAGCATTGGAATCTCTTTATATAAGGTCGTGACACGTAACCTCTCTGATTTGAGCGTTGTAATAAGAAAGTTACTTGAACCCTTGCGGCACAGAAGGCTCTTGAAATTTAAATTAAAATTTTATATTGGTAGCTCGATTCATTGCAAAAAATGTGGTTCGCTTTAAATAGAATCTAAAAAAGGATATTTCCGCACGAATAGTAAACGTCTTGCTACACTCGTTAAAAAAAGAGAGCAATATTTTTCAAAATGTTATTCCATGAAAACTACGGAAGGGATTTTGAACATTTTTGAGCAATCAACGGTTTTCGGAAATTTCGGTCGTTTCCACAAAACTAAGTTTTCTAAATACTTAGTTTCTTATTGTCTACTGAAGTGTAAAGTTCAAATTGAGCCCTGTCTATTTTTTTGCACAAACCGTTTCTTGAAAAATTCAAAAAGTATTTTTTGGTCCACTACCAGCTAAAACTGTAGTGAAAAATAAGAAAACAAAATACTTTTGTACCGGTTACCGGTTAGTTTTTTTATAAAACCCGGTTCTTTGAAAGCCGATTTTTGAATTTTTATTTTGTTTCTCCAGAAAATGCAAATTAACCAAATTTTAAACAATAATATTGTTGAAAATTGTAAAATGTAGTAAAATTTTTCCGTCAGATAATCTTTTTTTTTAACTTTGAGCAAATTGTTTATAAGACCAAACGAGTTAAATGCATGAAATTTTTACTGAACTCTTATCATTTTCACACAAATAACTCAAAAAATCATATTTTTGGAAAATTAAATTATGAGACGCTCAGAGCCCTGCTGATCCACTGTGGGCCGGTCGATTTATACATTATAACCGTAAGAGTATTCCGCTTTCTATGTTTCTGATTGGTGGTCTTCTATGAGGATACCTTATGTGTAAATTGGTGCGACTTAGGATACAATTAGCACATTTGCGAGCAACACAACATAGCTGTATAATGAAATCAATTGAGTGTGCATTCACATTTTATTCGTTTCAAAAATGTTGTTTGATTTTTAATATTTAACAACCACTCTTGAGATTGGTTACAAATTGTAAACACAAAATATGTAGTGTGTTAAGGAATGGTTGAGAACAAAATGTTTTTAACAAAGTGTGATTGAACTTGACATTACTCTCAGAAGAACCATCCTATAAAGTCAAATTGAAAATATACTTTATGAATTTTGAATCTTTTATTTATAGTTTTTGGCATAATAGTAGCTTAAAAGAGAGCCGACCTGAGTTGTCAATCACACCTTTGTTGACCTTCACTCCGCGTTTCATCGATGGAGTTGTGGAAACGGTTCAAAATCTTGTCTTCATTCGGGGATTGTAACTGCAATCTAGCCTAACTTAAGCCCTCATCAGTAACATATAACCTTTTCAACGTTTTTGTTACGAATTATCGATATTTGAAGTAATGAACATCATTGAAGATTTTAATAGGCTCTACCATCAAAATGTTTCTTTCGTGGGTCGTACATCTTCCGACGAACTAAGTTTTCAATGAACTTTTATTTTTATCAAAGGGGCTTCTCTTTTAAACTAAGTGGCTTTCATGCTTTTTGTCATAGTGGAATTAATTATTTTTTTACTATGCAAAAAATTTACTTGCTAACGTGCACGCTAACATTTAATCACAGTGCAATCATTAATTTGATTAAATATTCGAATATGTTTAATTTTTAACTTCTAATTTTTCATTTTTATTTCTTGTTTTGCTATTTATTTATATTTTTCTATTGTTTCTCTTCATAGCGGTTTCTCAGCAAGCATTTTTTAACAGTTGTTTAAAACAGTATCCGGCTTTGGTGCGAATTTAGGCTAATTTGTAGAATGCTAAAGAGCAAAGCAGGCAATATTTGCAAAACTTGTTTGGTTTATTAATGAACTGGTATGTTCTTTACGTATTCGATTGTTTTTTATATCACTTTATCAGAATTTTTCATGCCTTAAAAATGTGTTTATACCTAAATTTAAGATTTTTTTTATTTAGTACTCAATTGATTGTCAGTAACCTTTAATAAATGGGCATCTTAGAAAACGTGTATGTAGACGCTGAAACGGTATGATACAAGTTCAAGTTCATACGTAGATATTTGTGTATATATATGTATATCTAATTAGTTATGTATACATAATTAAGTAATAGCCATTGAATATTCCCTCATGTCGTCACGCATTCATTACGGTTACTCGTTTATCCAATTTACCTTTAAAATCAGATGGACAATAATCAATGCTAATGGGCCTTATGCATAAAAACTAAACAATTGCTTTTTGTTAAAATTGAATACCTTTCACTTAAATTTATTTGAAAAAATCGAGTAAAAGCTCTGAAATTTTAAGAAAAAGCATTTGCTAAGGTTTTATGCGTACAGCACAATATGTAGATATGTATCCCACATATACTTCTCATTGTTTTTTACATAAACAAAATATATTTTTACTGGACTTGTTACTCAGCTTGTTAGCGAAATTTCCATACATTAAAAGAAGATGCTGCACTATGCATAATTTATTGGAAACTCCGATAAGCAAAGCCAATTTTGTGTTAGGTAAACATGTGGGAAATTTCGAGTTTAATTTAAATTTTATAACCGAGAAAATTTCCATATCGTGTTGGATGAAATTAGAAACTGCTTGAGGGCATGTAAACTGCAAATTAAATACAAAATCTAAAGGAATTATTACTGGAATTATGTAGAACCGGATTTATGATATCTGTTGAGCTTCAGTGTTGAACGATCAAAAGTATGGATTTTCAGAAAATTTTATCTATGCCACTGTAATTTTTTTTTCCACTTACTGATAACAATTCTTAACAATTAAAACCGCATGAATACTTTAAGCTTTGCCATCAACATCGAGAAAAAAAATTTAAAGGTTTGGTGATCTCACAAACTTAAGACACCAGGAAAATATCTTTTCTAATATATGTTTATGTATCGGATTATATTTAGTACTAAAACTATTATTAAAATATTTTTAGGACTACCATGGAATGCTTTTTACTTCGATTACATATCATTAGAACAGTTATGCTCAGCTAGGGAGCACAGAAGGTTTCTTATGAATAATACGTTAGATTATGCTGGCTAGTTACAGAGAGCATATAACACAGCTAATCCCTAGTGCCAGAAGCAATCCTGAGAAACATTGCAGTCTTCTTAGCGAACTGGAACATCTTGTTATATTCTACTTTGCCAGCTGCCCACAGATTTGTAACAAAAGCTTTCTCTAGGAGACTAAACTCACAGAAGGTGTGCTCTATATACAGTCTTCTTATTTAGTCTCGCTTCTACTGAAAATGATATCGTTGGTCAGAGCCTACTTACAGGCATGTAAAGGCCAAAATCAGTTTTCTGTTAGTAAACCAAATATTGTCCCGGTGACGTCTTCCTTAATGCATAGAATAAGATTTTTATGCTCGCTATACTAATATCCAATCATATGTGGTGTGTTTTTGTCCACACCATCTCTTCTTGCCAGATCGTAAAGTAGTTGAGCTGCAATTTATTCCCTTATATTAAAATTGGAAATTTTTTATTGACGCAATTTTCGGCGGTCGCTGGGGTGAAGTGGTTAGAAGTGCGCACTGCCATTCCGCAGGCAGGGGCTGGGATTGAACCCAGTTTCGGACTAACATCAAACACAAAACAAAAGAACAAATGCAAACCTTCGAGTGTACTTCTGCATTGAAAAACAGCTGCTCATCGTCGTTTGAAGTAGGCGTAAAACTGTAGGTCCCTCCCCTTCGTGTGACAACATCAAGGCGCATGCCACAAATCGGAGAATAAGCTCGGCCAAGCACTAGCATATTGTGTAAGCGCCAATCTATTACACCGTGTTACAAAAACAAACAAAAAATCAAAACACACGAAAGAATCGATATATGCACTTACGAAACTATGGGCGAAGTATAGTAAAACTGCGTCAAGATTTTTTTTTCTGAAGTGAAATTTTTTTTCAAAGGACTTTGAAATTTTAAAGATATGATTAATTCAAAAAATTACTTACACAAATCAGTACAATGTAGAATAAAAATATGGGTACCAAATGAGAGTGAAAATTCTGTAGAATTTCAGGCTAATCAAGTTTTTTGGTTTGCAAGGACGAATAGGTATTAAACATGAGCTTTTAATAAATTTTATCTTTTTAAGTTATTAAAGTTTGCAGCACGAAATTCCATGATGAGGTCGTGCGTATATTAGCCCTCAAACAATAATTTTTCAAAAAAAAAATAAAAAATATTGCAAATTTTCAGGGATATTTAAGCACAAAATTTGTAAAAGACATTTTCCAAACCCAAAAACTTTGTTCTGATATAATTCTACAGAATTTTTTCTTTTACGCGATATCCTTTTTGTCATCCTTCATTGCATCGAGTTTTTTTAAATAATTTGTTAAATTAATCATTTTTTTTAAATTTCAAAGTCCTTTGAAAAAATCCTGAGGTCAGAGAGAAAAACTAAGCACGCAGTTTTACTATAATTTACCCATAGTTTCGCGAATATATTAATTTTTTGTGTGTAAAATTTACTGTCGACCGGTGTTTTTATTATTGCACTGTACAACTTTTACAGTATTTTTTCCTGGGAGTCGAAGAAACCAAGTTTTTTAAAAATTTGGATTTTATGTAGAAAAGTAATTACTCAGTTTTCCAAGGTTGGCGATTTAAGCGCGTGTTTTTTTTTATTTGAAGTTGGTGGTAACAGAGCAATATTTAAAACAATTAAAAGTGATTTAAATGCAAATATTTATACACTAAAAAGGCCTGCCTGGGAG